AAAGCCACGCATGGACCGCAATTGGGGAGAAGCTATCAAAACAAATCAAGCGCGCAGGACACAAAAAAAAAAAAAAGAAAAAAAGGCAGCTCTAGGCTTTAGTGGGCTCTGTGGGAAATTATTATTACAAGGCCCAGACACCAGTTGTCCAGACAAATAGTTGACTGTGCCAGGACCGCCTTTAACTGCTTAATTACAGCGCCCCAAGGCCACATGCCTGCCTCAGACTCATTATTATCTATTAAACAGTCAGTCAGAGAGTGAGGGCAAGAAAAGCAAAAGCAAAAACCCAACTCGCTGACTGACTCTCTAATGACATTGCCTCGGTCCAGAGCTCTTCTAGCCTTAATAGCATTAAAACGCCATAAATATGCATATGAGCCGAGTCCGGGGCACAGACAACTCAACACCAATTACAATGTCCACATTCACATCCACAACCACATCCACTTCCACTGGCAAGAGTAGGTCCTAGTTGGTAATTGTTTCATATGCACCAACAACCTTCAACCGCTGCAGCAACTGCCGGCAATTTTACGTCCAATGGCTACCCTGCGTCATGACTATCGGGCATAATTTACTTAGAACGAATCATGTCTAGCCGCTGCTTTGGATGCTTTGGCAGCTTTGGCTGCTTTGGTTACAACCTGCGCACGCGGTAATAAAACACAGCGTCACGCCAAGGTAGCGCCCCAAAAAAAAGCACAAAAAAATAAAAACCATGAGCCCGCACTTCAGCCTCTGAGCCTGAGCCTGTGCCTGAGCCTATGCCCAGCATCGTGCGCCACGCAAGCGCAACTGCGACCAATTTGGTGGCTCCCGTTGTTCTTCTACCCTACCATTTGATACTGTTGATGCGCAACAACAAAGAGCAATATTGGCAAGAACATTGGCCACAGCAGCCGTCGGTGTAATGGGCTGCTGGCCCGCACCCAGGCCACTGCATAGACGTCTACATTGGTACCTTGTCGCCGACATAATCATGTTAAATTACTCGCAAATTCATTTGCTGTGCGCAGTTGCAACCAGCAGCCCTAGAAGAACCCAAAGAAGCAAGTCAACAAACAGCAGCAGCAACAGCAACAGCAGCAGCTGCTAGCTGCTAGCTGCATTGTTAGGCCGTCGTCGAGAAGCAGTTGGTAGTATTGCCCTTCCTTTAGGCGGCTTTCAACGTTGATGCATAGACATGATATGGCCCAGCAGCAGTTGCTGTTGCTATTGTTGTTGTTGTTGCTGCTGCTGCTGCTGCTTGGATTGTTACCTTGTCGCTCACTCCATATTGATCGACTAGCAGACTTCAACTCCATTATGTAAATTATGTGATCAAGGCCATAGAAAATGGAAATTATTTTGCAACGATTCTGTTTAGCTATCTCCCTCTCTCGCCCAAGACTCAATACACAAAAATCTGCATGCTTGTTGCTGCTGCTGTTCGGTTCCTGGCATGTGTAATTTCTAGTTTCCTGGCATTGCATAATTGAGCTTCGTGTGCAATTATAGCCCGATTTATTGCATGTGCAGTCATAATACCCGTGGGCGCTGTCTTTTCTTGGCCAACCATTGTTCTAAGCCACAGACAGATATCTTGTAGTAGAACCATAAAAAATAAGAAGAAGCAATTGCCTCATTTTGGGGCTAATTACATATATGCATGTAGTGTATGGCGATCGAAGCTATCGCTAAGGGCACTCACTCATTTCCTTTCCTAGGTTCTATTTTTTATGACGTGCCTTTTTTCATAACCCTTGCCCTATCTTCTTTACTTCATTTTACTGTACCCGTTCATCATCTTTCTCTCATCAACTGAAATTTTGTCATCTTTGTTTTTGTATCACTAATTAATATTATACCCCTCTACATTTCCATCTTTGAATAACACTTTCCTCATATCCTTCAATTTTTATTTTTATCATCAACCTTTTGGTGTAAACTCTTCATCTTGCTTTCCTCATTTCTTCTGCCTAATCTTATCATTCTCTCTTCAGGCCTTCGTTTAGCATCCTGTTTTCTTCCGTTTCATATGTCTCTTCTACTTCTTTTTTGCCTCTCTTCATCGTCCGTTTCTCATTGATTTCGTAATTTTGCATTTTTCTTCGGTCATCTTTTCATGTCTCGTATTTTACACTACTTTTCTGTCAGTCCTTCTATTATTCCCTATCGCTCCTATTGACACCTCTGTTTCCTCATCATCTGCTTCAGCTCCCACTTCATCACTTTGCTGCTGCTATTTGCCAAGCAGTAACTCGGCTTTCTTGGAACTTCTTATCAGTGGCACATATATAACCGCGTCATCTTGGGGTGTGCTGTGGGTGTGGCTCGCCAAACAGCAGCTGCAGCATAAGAAGACATTGTTGTTGCTGGCTTAGCGGTAACCGCCACCAAAAATGGCGTACTTGGGAGCCACACCAACACAGACACAAACACAGACATAGACACAGACATGGGACTGTAAGGAAGATTTGTGTTCATTTTGTAATCTTTGAAATATTTCTGGCATGGCAAATATTTCACTAGCTTGCCAATATCCCTCCCTCTCTCCATCACCCTATCTCGCTCTTCCTTGAACACTCACACTCCCGTTGTCTGTGCATTTCCGCGTAGCCCAAAAATATTTAACGAAAACTTCCACTTTTCACATGCCAGCAAAAAGAACGCCGAGGCTGCGCTGAGACTGCGACTGCAGTCCACCTACAGCTGAACTTGTCCACCACTAAATAATAAAGCGTAACCAGTAAAAGGCGTACCAGGGGCGTACCAAGAGTACATAGTTATACATATAAATGTGTGTGTGTGTGTGTGTGTGAGTGAGTTTGTGTGAATACTAGCCACACTGCTACCTAGGCCTACTTATGTAAGTAAAGTTGCTTGTGGCTTGTATTTTATGGTTTGTGTACACATTTTTGCACACATGCGCGCCTGGGTCATTCAACTTGGAAGAACAACAGCCAGAGCCGCAGCCCAGTCTCAGCCAGTTAGCTAGTCAGGGATAGGCACTGGCCATGGCTGGCTGACTGCAGAGCAGAGCAGAGCAAAGCAGACGCGCGCGCTTTCTTAGAATAAACAAAAAGCACGACTAGCGCGACAGTAACCAACGCCGCCAACAACTTTGGCTAAAAACGTACACGACACCAACGAGCCAACTGCAGCACATCAACACCAACAACAAGAACTGCCTGCCTGCCTGCCTGCCTGCTTGCCTGCCTAACTGACTAGCTGACTAACTGACTGACTGACTGACTGACTTCTGTTTGTTGGACCGACACGACCATGTTTGATGTGTAGCATCAACAGTCAGTCAGGAAGGCAAACGACGACTCATGCGTCTTGGTCGGTCGCTGGGCCGCCATCATTATCATCATCATCATCGGCATTGGCATTGGCATTGGCAACTGCAACTACATCCTCATTATCATCCATTGCATTGGCTTGTAATGTTGGTCGCTGCTTGTTTTAGTTCTTGCACTTGCAGTAGAAAAATTGTTGCATAAGTTTGCATTACAAGACTCTGCGAACCGGCTGCATGATTGACTCCCATTGCACTCACTCGCCCGCCCGCTGCATGCCCGTTGCACGCCCGCACACCAAAGCCGAATTCTTTGGTATTGCCTGGCCTGGGCTGGACTGGCCAGGTCAGACCAGACCAGACCAGACCAGTCACTCACAACTCCTCAATCCTTAACAGTTAATGTGTGAATTTTTATGCGTTGCCAGGTACGGTCGTGGCTGTCGTCGTGCCGTCGTTGTGTTGTTCTTACCGCATAAAATGTAATTTACATCCGTTAGTTTGAATGAGTGAGACGTTCGACGACTACGACTACGACGACGATGGCGTTGGCCACAGCAGCAGCAGCAGCAGCAACAGCAGCCGCCGCCACTGCAACTGCAACAACAACAGCAACAACATTGAAATTGCTACTCTGATTTGCAGTTGAGCTCTACGAAGTACCACAAGCCAAATACTCGTACTCGTAGTCGCTTATGAGCACTTGCCGTTAGAATTTTCATTGTTATTTTGGTTGGATTTCGCTGACCAAATTGTATGCATTTTAAAAATTATATTGCAGCTCCTGAGATGCAAACGAGATAAGACTAGACTTGGCTGTAGCCATACACTAGCATATAATCAAGTTAAGTCCGCGAACTACGAGCACTTATGTATGTATACTTGTAGTATGTAGGCCCCCCCAAGCACGCGGAAATTGAAATGTGAAATATTTGCAAAATTGTCAACCCTTCAACTGGACGCAATTAATCAAAGTGTTGCAGGCACTGAGCCACCAGCTAGGCAGGTTCTACACGGCTGCAACAACAGCAACTACACGGCAATTCATAAAAATGCAATTTGTCAAATCATGTTCCCCTTTGTTGGAGCTGCTGCTGCTTTTGCTGCTGTTGTTGCTGTTGTTGCTCATAAACGCCACAGCGGCAACGGTGGCCGTGGCCGTGCAACAAGTGACCGCCGCGCCGCGCCGGCTACAGCTAACTGTCAGCTTAAACAATTTGTTTCGAGCCATTTTTCAGGCACTCGCCGCTGCTGCCCCACTGTGGGACACACGCAGCCATTGCGCATGCGCATCGCCAATGTGGCCGACGTGGGCTTCGTGCTATTATTTCTTGCATTTTCTTTTACTTAACTTTTTCTACATTTTGATTATGTGGTAATAATACGTTGCACGCACCACACTGTTCCGAGTAATGCTGCTGCAATTTTCTGCTCTCGCTGTTGTTGTTGCTGCTGTTGTTGCTGTTGTTGCATGCTGACCAGCGGCAGTTCGCCCTGTTATCAGTGTATTTATAATGCGGCCTACGCATTGTTGCAGCTAATGCGACCATCTAATTTCTATTGCATGCAGATACAATTAGAGACTTTAGCAGTTAGCCGATAAATTCATTTACTAACGGATATGACCACAGTAAAATTGTGCTGTAATAAAGCTAAATAAATTGCGCTCTTGATTACCTAAAATAATCATTATTTTCTATTCTTTTTCTACTTGCAGCACCATTGCAAGAATACACAGAGATACAACAATATTCAGGTAAGTCGGGAGAGTGAACATAAACGAACTTTAACTATCCATTAAATATATAATAGCTATACATTGAAGATGCTTGATTAGAATGTTGGTCGCTTACTCTTTTTTACTCTTTACTCTTTAACTCAAATATCGGTCAGATGCAGCACGATTAACATTTAGAAGCTTAAATATCTAATATAAGGTTATCAGCATCTTGAGATCGGCTTAAGAATCCCACCTAAAAGTTGGTCACTCATCGAGCTCAGCTGTCAAAATGCACCGCACAAGTGCTGCTCGCCACGAACTTCATTTTTGGCCCACGCTGCGCATTATTAGGCAGTTAGATGAGGTGTGAAAACACACACATACACAAATAACTAGAAGACAGGCATAATAAAAATGAAATGAAAAAAAAATTTGTTTTAACGAGTTATGTCGAATACGTGAGCGCCAGCCAGCGTATTGACCGCAGCGAACAACATACGAGCATACGTACAAGAAAGATTTCAATCAAAAAATTATCTAGCAGGCCCCATACTACGCGCTTGAATGGGCAGGCCGACAGACAGTCGGACTGAGCTTAGACGCAGTCGTAGCCGCGCTTAACGTGTTAATGATGTGGAATTTATAGCGGGTGGACGTCACTAAATTAGGTAGCACGACGAGTCAAGCGTGCGCATAATTTAAATGACGACGACGACACATACAGCACTTGACTTTTGTTTAACGACGTTGATGAGCAATAAAATTTTTCTATATTATGACAGTTTATGGCGCTTAGTTTAATTTATGAGCAATGCGTCTTCTAAATAAGATTCGGAAGCATGTTTCAGGTAGAATTAGCCTATTTTGTACATGCCATAATCTGTTAAGCTGTAGAGGTATGCATGCATACCAAATGGATCCATTATAACAGATAGAGATACATAGATACAGATACGGATAGACAGGTCCGTGTACTTGTTTTATTTCGATCTTCGCTATGTTAACATTCTTGTTGCCTTGCGCGCTGCACTTGCAGAAGGCTGCTACTACAACTATGCTCACTACAACGAGGGTGATCGCATCATGACCAATGAGCCGTGTCTGAACTGCACTTGCCACAACCGCATGCTCATGTGCTACCTGCGCGTATGTCCATTCACCAAACCTATTGGCCACGATTGCATTGTGGAGAAGCGCGAGGATCAGTGCTGTCCCATCATCACTTGTCCCGAAGGTAAGTTTTGCGAGAGAAAAACATTATTATAGCCAACTTATGATAAATTTATTGTACGCTTTTAGTACCCGTGGATGTGCCCTATCATACACCCGAGCCTGGTACCGAGTTGAGCATACCTGAAAAGTTCGGTTGCAGCATTGAGGAACGATTCTACCCGGAAGGTGCGCAGGTGCCATCCAATCCGAATAAGCCATGTGAGCTGTGCTATTGCATTAACAATCAGACAAAGTGTGTCATGCAGGAGTGCACATTGCACGTGGATGGTTGTACACCCATCTATAACAAAGGCTCCTGCTGTCCCGTTCGCTATAGTTGCGGTAAGTGCTTAAAGAATTAGCCAGTTGATGTGAGCCTACAATTTGAGCTTATGACTTACAGACCACGAAAACGATGTTTTGGAGCTTGAGGATCAATCCACCACAACGACAACTGTGCGCCCTACGCCTGGATTTATACTAACCACAACAATGACACCGTCAGTCTCGACAGATTGCGTACACGATGGCGAAACTTATGCCGACGGCGCCTCCATTTTGGGCAAGAATGCCTGCGAACACTGTTACTGCATGCGTGGTGATATTGTCTGTGCCGTTCAAGAATGCGAGATGCCTATGATGGCAGCCAGTGGAAAGTCTTGTCGCGCTATGCCGGCCGCAGAGGGTGAGTGCTGTCCGAGCAACTATGTGTGCGAGGACGACAGTGCCACCACTGAAATTGTGGAGGGTATCACCCAAGAGGCTGGCAAGGAAGAAGATGAGACTACCACAGTTACTCCAGTCAAGGATATCCCTGGTGAGATTCCTAAGGAGGACCTGGATCTACAAGAACACATTGATGACGAAGAGCAGGTCAAGGAGCAGGACAAAGAGAAGGCAACTGAAAGCCCAGTGGATGAAAAGGAGCAGGACAAGGAAAAGGCAACTGAAAGTCCAGTGGATGAAAAGGAGCAGGACAAAGAAAGAGCAACTGAGAGCCCAGTGGATGAAAAGGAGCAGGACAAAGAAAAGTCAACTGAAAGCCCAGTGGATGAAAAGGAGCAGGATAAAGAAAAGGCAACTGAAAGCCCAGTGGATGAAAAGGAGCAGGACAAAGAAAAGGCAACTGAAAGCCCTGTGGATGAAATTGGCAGCGGTGAAGTGGATACAACAGCTAAACCAGATCTTGGAGGCGATGCCAAGCTTGGTACAACTGATGAAGAAGAGCCCGAGCCATCTACAGAAGGATCAACAGAGACACCTTCGACTGCAGTGGAAGATAGCGGCGAAAAAGATATTCTTAAGCCTGCAACATCTACCGAGGAAGAGAGCACTGATGAAAGCATTGCCAAGACTACTACACCGAAGTCTATTGATGAGAAAACAACATCGGATGAGGGCGAAAGTGAAGAAGAGGATATTGCCAAAACTACTGCACCTTCTTCCATTGACAGGACAACAGAATCTATTAAGCCAACAGCATCCTCTGAGGAAGTTACCAGTGTCGAAGATAGTGAGAAGCCTACTACACCGAAGACCATTGATGAACATGCTGAAGCCGTTAAGCCCACACCCACTCCCGAAGAAGGAAGCGGTGAAGAGGATATTAGTAAGCCCACAACGTCTGCTGAGGAAGGCAGTGGTGAGGAAGATTTTGGTAAAATTACAACGCCAAAGACTGTCGATGAAGAGATCGAACCTGCTAAGCCCACAGCACCTGCAGATGAAAGCATCAGCGAAAAGGACGTTCCTAGGGCTACAACACCATTACCAGTCGAAGGCGAAGATATCACAACTGATTTGTCGGCTGAACAGGATGAAGATCACGATGAAAAGATGGGTACAACAACACCAGAAAGTGTCATCGCCCATGATGTGCCAGCGAGCGAATCACCAAAACAGAAGCCCACAGAAAGTTCAACAAGTGTACCCACATCGGCAGAAGATAAGGAAGAAACCGCCACTAGTTTGCCCACTTCAGAGGACAAAGATATTGACAAAAAGGAAAAAGAGAAGCCTGATGAAATTGAAACACCTCCCAAATTTCTACCAGAGGATGATTCAAGCTATAGTACAACCCAAGCCTCATCAACTGAAAAGACTGAAGGAGAAACGGCCGATGAAGAAACATCAACAGCCGCAGCAGAAAAAGAAATTGTGCCATCTACCAGTACGCCACTTGAAACTCAGAAGGAACCATCCAAAGAGGCAGATGATTCAGAAACACCCACCCAACAAACCCCTGCGAAGTCTGACATTACACCAGCGGATGGCGAAGTTGATCAAAGTACTGCTCAGCCAGATGATAAAGCTGAATTGCCAACCAGTAAACCAGATACAGCATATTTACCACCCTCCTCCGGCCACATTGACGGTGAGGAGAAAATTGACGTATCTCCAGCACCAGAAGGAGGTATTACGGAGCCCAGCCAGACTACCACAGAAAAAGAACAATCTACTGTTTCTTCAATCGATAACCGTAACGACTTTGTCACAGACGCTGATAAAGAGGCAACAACAGTGCTACCTACTTCAGATGAGACATCACCTGAAGAAATTCCTGACATGCAGCTTCCAGCCGTTATACCGGGAGAAGGTGACTGCTTGGTGGATGGAAAAACCTACCCTAACAATACTATCATCCCTGCTACAGCTCTTTGCGATGAGTCCTGCAAGTGTATTAGCAGCATTGTGGCGTGTAAGCAATTGGAATGCAATATTCCGCAAAATCGTGAAAACTGCATTATGGTTCCTGCCAACGCTGATAGTTGCTGCCCAACTTACATTTGTGATACCGATAGTTCAAAGGACGACGAAACAACAACTGTCAAGCCACAATATACTGAAAAGCCCATCGAAAGGGACGATGAAGTCGGAGTGGACACTACCACAACAGAAGTGGTGCCTAAAGATGTCATTATGCCTTCTGGAATTACTGAACAACCATTATCTCATATCAAGCCTGACGAAGATATTTCGCAGACTACAACAGTGATACCTCAGTCAACAGAAACTACAGCACCAAAGGATACCGTTAAACCCACTGAAGAGAAAACTTCAGAAGAGGATGGTATTATCGAACATGAAACTAGTAAGCCTGAAATTGGAGAAGAAGCTCAAAAACCTGTTCAGCAGAGCACCGAACCAACAGATTCTAAGAAACAGCCTGAAGATGAAATTCCATCCCCAACTGTTGTGTCCCCCACTGAAGAAGCTAAGCCTAGTCCAGCTGAAGATTCCTCTGTGCCACAGGCTGAAGACAAATTGCCAACAACAACTATTCTTCCAACTTCTGAAGGAGAAGAAGGAAAACCGGCAGATAAGATCCCAGCCCCAGAAGACAAGTTGGAAACTGATTTGGAAGACAAAGTTTCAGCTACTACTGTTGTACCACCACTTAAGGACGCTTCGACAGAATCGTCTGAGGAAGATGCCACCACTACTGGTGATCTCTCCGATGAAGTTGAGCAGACATCCCAAGACCAACTCTCCACATCAACTATTCATACACCTGTTGATAGGGTCACTGAACCAGCGGTTACATCTATTAGTACCTCGTCGGAAGTGGAAACAGATGAATCAGGTAAATTCACAACACAGGCTCCTTCTGCCGAAGACGGCCTTACGAAACCAGCTGATGAAAAAACTCCTTCAACATCCGGTGAAGCTGATGAAAGCACAGAGGCTATTTTGGAATCGACTGTTCGTCCAGATGAAGGTGTCAAGAAATTCTTGGAGAAAGAACCACTATCGCCAATTACTACTACTCCTGCGTCAGACGAAATCGAGAAAGAGGAAGACAGTGAAATCAAGAAATCTTCCGATGAGGAAATTTCATCAACTGAACAACAACCAACTGACGAACATACGGTCGCTCCCTCTTCGGAAGAAAAAGATAGAGAGCCTTTCAAGAAACCTTCCGATGAGGAAATTTCTTCAACTGAAGAACAACCAACTGACGAACATACGGTCGCTCCCTCTTCGGAAGAAGAAGGTGGTGAGCCATCTGATGAAGTTTCGCCAACTGCTGCACCGCCTGCCAGCACAACTAAAGTTGAAGATAAACCTGAAGTCACTACGGTTATTCCCAGTTTGCAAGAAGCCCATAAGGAACCTACGACTTCATCAGAAGACGAAGTTAAACCAACCCCTGAAGATAGATTCGATGAGACCACAATTGTGGCACCCGCAAGGGATGAGGAGCCGACCGAACAGGAGTTCGCCGCCACAGTTTCGCCCTCTAAAGATGAAAGTGCATTCGATAAATTTGACTCAGCAACAGAGCTGCCTTCTGAAGAAGAGCAGAAAGAACCATCTGATGACAAAGTTTTACCATCCTCAATTCCTTCTGAAGACGAAAGTAAACAAGAATCAACAACGCCCGCTGCTACTTCTGCTGAAGAAGGCAGTACCGCTTCTTCCGATGAAAGGGTGCCATCAGGTGTTGATGCTGATAAAAAACCAGAAACAGAAGAAGAAGAAGTTGCATCTACCAGCTTGCCACCATCTAGTCAGGATAGTAAGAAGATTCCACAGCCTGAGGATACTTTGGCTGGCACTGAGTCCCCAGTATCAGTCCCTGGTGCACAAGACGATGATACAGAAGTCACAACAGAGCAGAAATTCATTGAAACTACTGTTTCTCCAGTCTCTGACAAGGAAGAAGGCGCTACCCCCGAGGAAGAAAGCAAGAAACCAACTGATGATTCCGTTGCAACAACTGTTGCTCCTACGTCGAGTGATGACGAAGGCAAGGAGGGTGCTCCAATTTCATCTACTTCTGCACCGCCTTCGGACCTTGATACCACTGCTCCTCCTGCTGCTCATGTACCGGCTCCAGAAGAAATTGAAACGAAGCCCATGGATGAAGTTTTATCACAAACTGGAGATAAAAAGACTTCTCTTATTGATAGCATGCCTGACACAACTGTTGTTCCATTCACCGAAGAGCCATCACACGAAAAGGAGTCGTCTACAACTGCCGCTGAGGAAGAACCGTCTAAGATTGATGCTGAGCATACACCTTTGCCTGCCACAACCTTAGGTAAAGATGAAGAAAAGTCTGATGAACAATCTACTTCGACATCTTTGCCTGCCACAACCTTAGGCAAAGATGAAGATAAGTCCGATGAACAATCTACATCGACACCTTTGCCATCTGTTGATGAGCAAAAGGAAGCTTCAACTAGTGTACCTATTTCTGCAGAAGAGAAACCGAAACCAGCTCCAGAAGACAAATTTGAAACTGATTTGGAAGACAAAGTTTCAGCTACTACTGTTGTACCACCACTTAAGGACGCTTCGACAGAATCGTCTGAGGAAGGTGCCACCACTACTGGTGATCTCTCCGATGAAGTTGAGCAGACATCCCAAGACCAACTCTCCACATCAACTATTCATATACCTGTTGATAAGGTCACTGAACCAGCGGTTACATCTATTAGTACATCGTCGGAAGTGGAAACAGATGAATCAGGTAAATTCACAACACAGGCTCCTTCTGCCGAAGACGGCCTTACGAAACCAGCTGATGAAAAAACTCCTTCAACATCCGGTGAAGCTGATGAAAGCACAGAGGCTATTTTGGAATCGACTGTTCGTCCAGATGAAGGTGTCAAGAAATTCTTGGAGAAAGAACCACTATCGCCAATTACTACTACTCCTGCGTCAGACGAAATTGAGAAAGAGGAAGACAGTGAAATCAAGAAACCTTCCGATGAGGAAATTTCATCAACTGAACAACAACCAACTGACGAACATACGGTCGCTCCCTCTTCGGAAGAAAAAGGTGGAGAGCCTTTCAAGAAACCTTCCGATGAGGAAATTTCTTCAACTGAAGAACAACCAACTGACGAACATACGGTCGCTCCCTCTTCGGAAGAAGAAGGTGGTGAGCCATCTGATGAAGTTTCGCCAACTGCTGCACCGCCTGCCAGCACAACTAAAGTTGAAGATAAACCTGAAGTCACTACGGTTATTCCCAGTTTGCAAGAAGTCCATAAAGAACCTACGACTTCATCAGAAGACGAAGTTAAACCAACCCCTGAAGATAGATTCGATGAGACCACAATTGTGGCACCCGCAAGGGATGAGGAGCCGACCGAACAGGAGCTCGCCGCCACAGTTTCGCCCTCTAAAGATGAAAGTGCATTCGATAAATTTGACTCAGCAACAGAGCTGCCTTCTGAAGAAGAGCAGAAAGAACCATCTGATGACAAAGTTTTACCATCCTCAATTCCTTCTGAAGACGAAAGTAAACAAGAATCAACAACGCCCGCTGCTACTTCTGCTGAAGAAGGCAGTACCGCTTCTTCCGATGAAAGGGTGCCATCAGGTGTTGATGCTGATAAAAAACCAGAAACAGAAGAAGAAGAAGTTGCATCTACCAGCTTGCCACCATCTAGTCAGGATAGTAAGAAGATTCCACAGCCTGAGGATACTTTGGCTGGCACTGAGTCCCCAGTATCAGTCCCTGGTGCACAAGACGATGATACAGAAGTCACAACAGAGCAGAAATTCATTGAAACTACTGTTTCTCCAGTCTCTGACAAGGAAGAAGGCGCTACCCCCGAGGAAGAAAGCAAGAAACCAACTGATGATTCCGTTGCAACAACTGTTGCTCCTACGTCGAGTGATGACGAAGGCAAGGAGGGTGCTCCAATTTCATCTACTTCTGCACCTCCTTCGGACCTTGATACCACTGCTCCTCCTGCTGCTCATGTACCGGCTCCAGAAGAAATTGATACAAAGCCAATGGATGACGTATTGTCTCAAACTGAAGATGAAAAGATATCAGTTGACGATATTGCGTCTACCACAATTTCTGACGCAGATGTTGACAAAACTCCAGTCACAGTTTCTCCGATTGCGGTTGATATTCAAACAACAACTGATGATAAGAAGCAACCTGCATCTGAAGAAGGTGTGTCTGATGAAAGCACAGAGCCAATTGCTCATGCTGAAAGCCCAACCAAACCAGACTCTGAAGCTGAGCTGCACGAGACTCTAACGGAATCGCCGGTAACAGAGGATGTATTAATTGCTCACACAGTTGGTCCTATGCTAGAAGAAGGAGCAGATAAGTCTACTGAGAAACCAGAATCTGATGTACCCACAATTAAACCAGTTCAAGAGGAAAAGACTACTGCAGCACCAGCCATTGCTCCAAGCTTAGATTCCACAGAGGAAGGTGATGAGTCAGTGGAATCTGAGGAAGAGCAGACCGCTGGAGATGGACAGAAGGCAGGCGCTACTGACTCATCAACAGAGTCAGAGGAAGTATCCACTGAGTCTGCTGATAAAAAGCCCGTTCCTGAAGATGAGGAAGAGGAAGTACCAGCCATTGTTTCCGAAATACCACAGCAGCACACAACTGCAGCTCCTTCTGCTCAAAATGAAACCTCAACTGCCGCAGACATTACCGAGAGTGATGAAAGCTCAACAGAACAGGACCTTGCACGAATCACGACAATGCATCCATTGTTTGCCCAACACTTCCCCAGTAGTACAAAGGGACCAATTATTGACGATAGAGTTGGCATCGATGAGTCAACAGATGCGGCAACGACCCAGAGCGCCATCCAAACGTCCGCGGAGTCAAGTACTAGTACAAGCACCACCGAAACGCCACTTACTACGACACCGGCATCTAGCTCGCATTACGAACCAGTCACACCACCTGCCTATGGTCAACCGCCTCAGTATCCATCTTATCCTGAAGACGAATATGACGAGGAGGAGGTGTTTGGTCCAGGAACCTGCCGTTACGCTGGAAAACTTTATGTGTCAGCACAACAAATTCCACGTGACGACCCCTGCGATTTCTGCTTCTGCTTTAGAAGCGATATCATTTGCCTGCAGCAATCGTGCCCGCCACCGATTGCCGGCTGCCATGAGGAGCCCATTTCAGGTTTCTGTTGTCCCCGCTACGAGTGTCCCGTCTCGATGGCTGCAGTTCTTAACATTACAACGAGCACGACAACCACAAGCACCACACTGCCACCCCACTTCCTCGCCCATAATTACGGCGACGCTGTCGAACGCAACGGCTGTCTCATCAACGGCCGTTCGTATAAGGTGGGCGAGCCCATCGAATCAACGAGTGGTCCATGCATCAGCTGCACGTAAGTATTTAGAATGTCCGACTTACGCACTCATTTAGATGATTTAATAACAACATTTAAAATCTATACTAATTTTAGATGCGGTGGCGATGGAAAAATGAAATGCGATCCACAGCAGTGTGTGCCGGAGCCGACTATGCAGCAAGTGATGGCCGCTGTTGCTTCGGGCCGTAAAAGATGAACCACCAGCCATGCTCACTAAATATAATTTTAAATAAGTTTTAAGCACTGCAGTTAAACAATCACAAGCCACAAACAGATAGACAACATAGAAAAACACACAAAAAGATATAGTACCAGAGTAACACCAACTACATACAGACATACAGAGCTGCACTCACTGCGCACATTTGAGAATAATGAATGAAGGAAAATGAATACAAATTAACTTAGGTGCCAAAACTGACAACAACAACAACAACAACAACAACAGGAACAACAACATAAATAATATCGCTTTACACTTGATCAGATTCGAAATTGTAAATTTACGTTTGCCGATATATTTGCACTATATTTCCATTGAATTACGCCAATTTGTTTCGGACTAGATTACGTGACGAAGCAACCAGTGATATTGTACTGTATACATAGTATAGGTGCAATTAATTTAGAACGCGCTCACTAAAAATGAATTACTTACGTATTTTGTATTGTAAAACATAAAGAAACGTCGCGAGTGATTTGTAAGGTTGTTTTTTGTGCCGCCTTTAATTAAACCGCTTTCAGGAGACTCTCAAACCCAACAACCAACATCCCAAACAAACCCGAAAAATTATGGCGCGCCACAATCAATTACATTACGAAACCGCGATGTTTGCCTACTGAACAACAACCGATTCTTTTTGTTTGTTTTAATAGACATACATACTTTCCTTCAATGCGCTTTTATAGTATTTTAGTCACTTTATTTTAAACATTATTATTTTTTTGTGTATAATTGTTGCTTCTAGTCTTCTTTTGTTGTAAGAGCAACGAAATCCGCCTAAACACGCACAGGCACAAATGCGCACAATTGAGATCAAATCGATGAAACGAATTGAGTTAAATTGAAAAAATAATATCTTCTATACAATTTTCCACACTTTTATACTTTTATACTACATGTGTAAAATGAAACAAGAAAAAAAACAAAAAACAAAATCGAACGAAACTAGTTTTTATAGCAATTTTACAAACGAACCACGAATTGCATAGTTTTTAATGGATTGATTCTAATTTCACTTCAATGCGTTTGTGTAGCACAAGCACAAATGTATATGGTAGTAACAAAAAACAAAAAAAAAGAAAACAGTAGCTTACCTAGGGGTTTTTTTAGATCAACTGAAAAACGGAAACTAAATATGAAAAATAATATATAAACTGTAGGGATATCGCTATTGCTCGACTGATTGAAAAAGCAAGCAATCAAGTGGACATTACGTAGCCGATAATGTTGTAAGCCAAATTAATTTTTAGAATATCAGCATGCTGTATGAGGTATGCGTTTTAACCATAGAACAACAATACATAAATATATCAGATCAGTTTCAGTTGCTTGAGCTTTAGAGATATGCCAACACTTTGATGCGTTTTCAAATGCACAATAAATATGAACAACAATTAGAATTATATAATCTCTAAATATAGGTGTAGGTTTTAAGTATTTAATTATAAAAATAAATAAATAAATTGTAATTTTAGACCTTATTTATTTTATATGTCTTTTAAGAACAGCTCTTGTGTTTCTATATCTTATCATTATTTATATGCAAGCTTTCTTTGTAATCTAATAAATAAATACAACGCTTTTTATTGAAATGTACAGCAAAAGGTGTTAAACTTCTGTAGTTGCTAATCAAATTAAATGAAACATAGAGGAAAACAAACATCTTTTTCTCCCCCTTCTTCCAATTTCTGGGGAAATGGGCCATTTACTAGCCATTGGTTTCTTTGATTGTATTATTTCATTCATTGCTAAGATGTTTCTTATAGACAGATATATTTCTGAATCTCTTCACTTACATTTTGTATTCTAGCAATTCCAAGCGAATAACATTTTGCCCCATTACTGGAACCACATTCATAATCAAATTGTAACTGAGAGCCCGTTGTGCAAATAGCGCTGCCACCTATTCAGAAAATAGTCGTGGAAAAATCGATAGCTAGTATCGCCGAAATCGTGTATCGATATTTTTATACATTAGCAACATCCTTATGGCGTGAAACTGCCTCATAGTATTAATTAATTTGAACAATTAGAATTAGGATAAATTTAGTACCAAATGGCGAGCATATCAACTATGAATTGGCTGTTCGTATGCGGCGTTTCATTCTGCTTGGGCGGAATTGCCGTGCTCAGTTTAATGCCACTGAGCTCAGGTCCGTACACACATAAATATTTAATTCTATAAATAACGATTGGCATGTGCTCATTTTTCTAGACTGTATATGCCCGTTGTCGAATCCATTGAGCAGGTTCAGCTCGGCAGCATCAGCCGCGTCCACCTACACGCCGGTTAAGCACGAATCTAAAAGGCCTCATAAGCTAGCATTGCTAGTGCCTTTCCGGGATAGATTTGAAGAACTGTTGCAATTCGTCCCACACATGACAAAGTTCCTAAAGCGCCAGGATGTGGTCCATCACATATTCGTAATAAATCAGGTGGACAGGTACCGCTTCAATCGAGCTTCTTTGATTAATGTGGGCTTTCATTTTGCCGGCGATGTGTACGATTATATTGCCATGCACGACGTGGACTTGTTACCACTGAACGACGCACTGCTTTATGAATATCCCAGTAACTTGGGACCACTGCACATAGCCGGGCCTAAGCTGCATCCTAAATACCACTATGACAAGTTCGTAGGTGGTATTCTGCTGGTACGAAGCGAACATTTTAAATTAATGAATGGTATGTCGAACCAATACTGGGGCTGGGGCCTTGAGGATGACGAGTTCTATGTGCGCATCAGGGACGCCGGGCTGCAGGTGACACGCCCGCAAAACATTAAGACTGGCGTAAACGACACTTTTAGGTAATGAACCCCCAACTTATCATTAAGTGACTAACTAAAGCTTTTATTTAGCCATATTCACAATCGCCATCATCGCAAGCGCGATACAACCAAGTGCTTTAACCAAAAGGAAGTGACTCGTAAGCGTGACCACAACACGGGTCTCAGCAACGTCGACTACAAAATACTTAAAGTGCACGAGTTGACCATCGATGGTGTCGGCATTACTGTGTTGAATGTTTTACTTGAATGTGATGTTAATAAAACGCCATGGTGTGACTGTAATGGTTCGGCGGCAGCTGCATCAGCTGTGCAGACGAAATGACAGGGCCCATCGAAAAAATGAAAAGAAATTGTGTCCGTTTGTCTACTCGAATCTTAAGCTATTTGCGTTTATTTGCCTAAAAAGAAAATGCACTTTCCTAGTACACATGTACCATGCCGTATAAGAATGTCCAGAAGAGCACATAGGTACAAAGGCCGCCCATGAACTGATTGGTCAGCAGATGGCGACGACTTATGAAGAACTTGCGCCATTGTGTGCCCGACTTAAGCAGCACCAAAATCCACAACACGAACACAGACAGAAAGTAGAAGAGGAAACCCAGTGTACCGCTCAAGCCCAATATACCTATCATAGAACAAATAATAAATTACTTATGTACATATGTACACTGGCAGTGTCAAGCCACTCATTAATGAAATTTACCTGCAGCACATCCAGAGATTGCGGCCATCGAAGTGCGTGAATATTCGACAGCAGAAATATTATTTCGAATGGCCACCTCGCTGTAGGCGATGATTTCGCCCGTCTTTGATTGGCGAGTCTTAACACGATTCATTTTTCTATTGATAATTTAACTTAATTTTCTACTTCTAATGGTATCTCTGCTTCTTGCTCCCCCAAACAGTCACAAATAAAAACAACAAACAGCTCGCTGTAAAAATTTTTAGCAGTACGGCAGCATGATACAGTAATGTGTCAAAAAAAGTTTTTTTTGTTCCTATATGTACGTCTCACTAAATGTTTAATTCGTTAGAAAGCATATTTTCTGCTAAATATTAACGAAAAGTTTATTGAATTGTGATTTTCAGAACTAGTTGAAAAATTTTATAAAACAAATCGAATATAAAAATTTTAAACCCCACATACAGAATTTGTAGAAACTAATTTTGTACCCAAAGGTAAGGTGAGATAGACAATTTATTTTTGTACGCAAAATTGAATATTAAACAGCATTCAGGGATAATCTTAGTATTTTCTGAGCTTAAAATACACAACGACGACGCATAAGACGTCATTCCTGTCGTCGTATTAGGGTACGCGGAACAAACTAATCGCCTTATCCCTGAATACGGTACCACCAAGTTCTTGCATCATAATGTGGCAGCGCTATGACACTTGTTCTTGTTTCCGCATTCTGTGATTGACAATTAAAGAAGTTGTCGCTGTTAGTCAATTGGAGCTCGAGCGATGGACAATTAATTAAGATATGTGGTGATAACAAGATTGAAGCTAGTGAATTACCGTTGTGATGGGCATTATGTGCAACGAATAAGTTTTAAGTGGGTGCCGAAATGTTTAAGGGAATCGAGAGGCCGTGAACGCTAGATCTAACATTGCACTACACGTTAGGACAACAAAAACAAAAGCAATTACAAAAAAAAATCAATCACATTTCTAATTAACCACCGGAGGAGGTGCTGGAAGAAACGATGTCACCGCCAAAAAATTGTGCAGTGTGCGGCGACAAAGCTTTAGGTTACAATTTTAATGCCGTTACGTGCGAGAGCTGCAAAGCGTTCTTTCGTCGGAACGCTTTGGCGAAAAAACAATTTACCTGCCCATTCAACCAAAACTGCTCGATAACCGTTGTCACCCGCCGCTTTTGTCAGAAGTGCCGCCTGAAAAAATGCATAGACATAGGGATGAAGAGCGAGAATATCATGTCCGAGGAAGACAAACTGATCAAGCGCAGGAAAATCGAGAACAACCGAGCCAAGCGTCGCATGATGGAGCATGGAGGGACAGATGGCGATGCCGAGGAAACGAAAGGAGGTGAGCGTGCTGTGGCCGACAGCAGCAGCAATGTGGATATGTACGCAGGCTCACAGGACTCGCATAGCTGCGGCTCAGCTGATAGTGGTGCGAATATTACGGTGGGCCCCACAAGCTCCACCGCTTCGAGCAAATACGTAAAGGACCGGCTGTCTGCCATTGATCCGATGCTGATGACGGCCGAAGAAATGGTGGAATGCATTGTTTCCGATCCAGATCGCGCCTCTCAAGCCATTAATAGGATTATGCGCACCCAAAAGGAGGCCATTTCGACCATGGAAAAGATAATCAGCTCACAAAAAGATGCCTTAAAACTTGTTTCGCATTTGATCGACTATCCAGGTACGCTGTGTGATATTATAGTCGATCGCATTCTGCTAATTGTTCATAATTACAGGTGACGGTCTCAAAATCATAAGCAAAATAATGAACTCGCCATTCAACGCTTTGACAGTATTCACTAAATTTATGAGCTCGCCCACGGATGGGTTGGAAATCATTTCAAAGATTGTTGATTCGCCACAGGATGTGGTCGAGTTTATCAAGAACCTGATGCAATCGCCCGAAGATGGCATTAACATCATGAACAAATTCATGAACACGCCTGCAGAAGCTCTCAAAATGTTAAACCGCATTTTTAATGGCACAAATGCTGCCGCTGATGGCATTAAACCGGTGCTGGGCGAGCCCCCCATAGCCACCCATGAGCCCCAGAGCGCACAGGCACTAACCGAGCGAGTCGAGACTGTAATACAGACCATGCTCAATAGTTCACCATCGGCGAGCAGCATGACCCCAGTGGACCCCATGACACCAGTGATGGCCTCGCCTCTGAGCAGCGTTCAGAGTCCGCCCAGCAATGGAGCCATTGATTTGAATTACCAGTCGCCGATAAGTACTAGCCAATCAGCGGATGAGCTGCCCAGCACTTCGGCCAGCAGTCACCCACTGCCCTACATTGCCAATTCGCCGGATTTCGATTTAAAAACATTCATGCAAACCAACTACAACGATGAGCCGAGCCTTGACGCTGATCTGAGTATCAATTCTATCGAATCAGTGCTCTCAGAGGTCATACGCATTGAGTATCAGGCTTTCAATAGTCTGCACACCTCGCGCATTAAGGACGAGCAGTATCATGTCGGCGGCATGATGCACTCCCCCTACATGCAGAATGGCTACACAGGCTGCAATGCGATCAATGCACAGCATCTGCAACATCAGCAGCCGATCTGTGCGCCATCGAGCATGCTAATGGAACGGGACCTGAACGAGGCTGAGCAAATGAAACTGCGTGAGTTGCGCATAGCTAGTGAAGCACTCTTTGACCCAGTGGATGAGGATCTAAGCGTCCTGATGATGGGCGATGAACGTATCAAGGTGGGCACCCTTTTATTATATCCGCTCATAAGAAGAACCATTGCTCCAACACCTGTATGTCTGTGTATCTTATCTTATCGCTATGTGGCCACAGAGTCAACAGTTAACACCTGCTCTATGAGTCAGTTGGGCTCGCAAGGCTACCTCGTTCGTTTTTCTGTGTGCCTAGCACAACTTTCTTTTTAAATGTAAACAAAGCTTTTAATCATTTTGCTATGAAAATGTACACCTGTTGCGATTGCTGCTCCTGTTGCTGTCCCCATGCCAGACTGCTTTTATCAGTGGAGCGATTGTCAAGCATTATCAACAATTATCACCAGCGTCAATAGGCGCGCAGAGGTGGCAGTTAGCCTTATAGCTACAAGTATATTTTTTTATATTTATTTTTGACTGTTTACTGTTGCTGCTCCATCACAATTAGCACTTTCTGATGTTGTTAATTGGAAAAGTGATACACTTTGAAAAATGTGGAACGCACAGGTGTGCGTTATTCTGTTCTGTTGTTCTGATAACGATTAAGTCACAACAGGCGGCGCGCGTAAAACCCAAGCGATAATAATTCTATATAAAGCATACACGCATACATACATAAGTAAATATATATGTATATACAACTGAATAACCATCACACACTCCCTTTTTACGCTATATAGCCCGAAGATACACGTCACAATCCCAAACTTTTGCAACTCATCAATCTGACGGCGGTGGCCATTAAACGGCTTATCAAAATGGCCAAAAAGATTAGTGCATTCCGCGACATGTGCCAGGAGGATCAGGTGGCATTACTTAAAGGAGGCTGCACTGAAATGATGATAATGCGTTCAGTCATGATTTACGACGATGATCGCAACTCATGGAAGGTAGGCAAGAATTCCTTCATCATATCCATATCCATCCAGATTTAGTTAATTGATTGACTGATTGATTTGTTTAGGTGCCACACACCAAAGAAAACATCGCCAATATTCGCACTGATCTGTTGAAATTCGCCGCAGGCAATGTCTACGAAGAGCATCTAAAGTTTATATCCACATTCGATGAAAAGTGGCGCATTGATGAGAACATTATACTGATTATGTGTGCCATCGTGCTCTTCACGCCAGCCAGGTCACGCATCATTCATAAGGACGTCATCAGGTTGGAACAGGTAGGCCATTGAAGGACTTTTATAGTGAAGATTTGGTGCTGATTTCTCTTCTTTGTTACAGAATTCCTATTATTATCTTCTGCGAAGATATCTGGAGAGCGTTTATTCAGGCTGTGAGGCCAAAAATGCCTTCATCAAGTTAATCCAAAAGATTTCAGATGTGGAGCGTCTGAACAAGTTTATCATAAATGTGTATTTGAATGTGAATCCCTCACAAGTGGAGCCTTTATTACGTGAAATATTCGATTTAAAAAATCACTGAAACGAATTCTATGGCACATAAAATGTCGCGTGTTATTTGTTGTTCATTCTATAGTCTATTAACTGCACTTTGTTTTGTTTGTTCGCTTATAAAAATTTAGATTTAAACTCAATGTGATTGTTAGATTTGCCGATACTATATATATATATACAAATAGATTTTATATTTCTACAAACAAAGAGCATATTTAGGATAAAGAGTGCAAAGCATCACAAACTGAAATGTACACACTAAACTTAGTTTTGAATAAACTATAAACAAAGCAACAATAGACAAATTATATTTTAAATAATATGTATGCTTGTATTTTGCACAGTGTAGCATTAGAGGTTGGAATATGAATCCAATAAAAGTGTTCCGGTACCTACGGTTCAGTCAACTTTTGATCTGCTCACAAATGGCTGAATATACGTATATAATCGATTTTTTATTTCCCCAAATACTGTTATATATTTTGTTTAATGAAATAAATATAAACTCATATCACATTCAGCTTGAATGCTAAATAGTTTAAATTTATATTACAGTGAAGTAATTCCAGAAGTTACACCAATTTAATTTCTTCTACAAAATAATATATCCCATATTTCTTAAGAACTACTGGAAAAATGTTGCCGCAATACTTTAATTAACTTTTATATAGTTGAACAGTTGCTTTTAATTTCAACGCTGAGCTTTGAACCCATTGACGGCTGGATATAATGCAGTTGATCATGAAAGAAAAAACTAAAAGGGAATATTTTGAAACAAACATGGAACTACTTGGTAAGTAGACTCTCCTAGCCCCTAGGCAACAAACTATATAAATTCGTCAATACTGTCTACATAAGCCAAACTGCACACGTAATCTATACAGAATTATCTACTTTTGGTTTAAATTTTATCCAAGTCGGAGCGGGGCTGTTTCTAATATAATCTTAAATGCGAATTTATAAGCCGAATGACTTAATCATGTATTTTTACTTAAAGTGGCTCGGCTAAAGTGGTTCGTACGATAAGCGCGGAGGAGGGCTTTATTTTAATAAGTTTATTAAGATAATATGACCAAATCAGTCATTAGTGCTTAAAATGGATTCAATTCGTATGCAAATAATGGTGGAGGGCGGTTTCAAATATGATCGTATAAGGGTCAAATGATTAAATCAGCGTTTGCCGGCAAAGCTTCTTCGGCTAAGCGCGGACTGTTGAAAACGTTGCTAGTTCAAAAAGTATAAACTATTGTTAATTTCAACTTACAAGCTAACCAAGTCAATAAGAACTTTAATGTTCATGCATATATTCTGCAATTAATATAAGTATTGGGAGTATTCTTATCAATTTTGGTAATGGGGGTGTGAGAACAAAATGAGCGACGAATTTTTGGCGGCAAGATAATTTATAGAAACACAAAAATTGTTTACCCAAACAATAAAATACGACAGAAATGAGTTCATTTGAATTTACCTGTTTATGCATCCCAAATTTAATAAATTAAGGAGTTCACTATATTTTACACCTCTCTTCTTGTACTTAAAATGTAGAGGGACAACCAAATACCATCTCTCGCTCCATGATCGATCAGTGATGGTTGCACTCTTTTCTATCGTAAGTAACAAATTAATTAAATTAAACAAGAATCCAAATGTTTTATTTTTACCGAAAGTCACAAAATTCACATGTGAATAAATATTATGGGGGGAATAAAAGTTGATATGTGTTTGACCGGACGACCATATATGTACGTAAAGAATTTGGTTCGGCAATAGCCACGCCCACCGCAACACAGTATCTGTATCTCTGTCCCTACTCCATCCCATTTGTTTCGTAATATGCAGAGGTTGCGACTACCAAACATAGTCAAATACAATGCCGCTAATATAAAAATACACGCTCGCTTTCCTCGATGGGCAGGCAGGCATGTGCAGGTGGATGTACAGGGTTCCATTGTTAGCACGGACCGTATTTCTAGGCCAACTCTTCAGGTTGTGTCACGGCAGTCCTTAGCCCATTGTATAAATTCGTCCAGTGTGCTTACGGCCAGATTACGCGAGAGCGCCTTCACGCGCAAGTTGCGATCGGTGGTAATTAGTACCAGTTCAGTTTGTATGAAGCATTTCCCATCTGGAAATTTATAACAAACAATAAAAAAGATAAATCAACAGTGGGCAGTGCGTTTAAATGTAAGATTCTTACCTTGACATTGCTCAGAGCTTGCGGTTTTTGATACAGCAACTGCAGTTGCAAGGATTTTGTCATCATTGGAGGCATATTCTTCCTCGACCAGTGCAAAGAGCGATGCATTGATTATAGAGCCCTTTGTGGTGGCACATCTGTGGGGAAATGAATTAGTTTTAATTTTATTTTTAACTTATTCAGATTGCGTATATATACGAGTATATAGGTAGAAGCTTACTTGACATTGTTCTTGGCAGATTTAATAAATTCCAGCGACTTTTTAGCCCGCGTAGAAACTTCGTCAAAGTGATGGATACGTTGCATTTGTTTCGAGTTGTGATATGATTCCAATTTTACGCCCTTGGAAAGACCATCCAACTCTTTGACTACCGTTAGCGGTATTATTACGGTGTACCGCTTATACTCCAGTGACAGTTTCTCTATGTCCTCCAAGCAATCAATAAAGCAATTTGTGTCTGGCAACAAGTAACGCGGTCGCACCTCAATATATAATTTGGTGTCAACAAATTTGAGTATTTCCTCTAATTTGCTATTGCAAATTTGCTTGACCTTCGCCTTGGCCTCCAGCTCTTTCTTTAATTTACAAAGTTGCGACACATCGCTATCGCCCGATGACGAGCTCTCATATTGCTCCTTCACGATCGTGTTTCCCCCTTTATTATCGGTTGCTGTACCCACGACTCTTGCACAGTCTTCGGCACCAAAATCACTCAGAGCTACTTCCATAGCTGTATTCAAATCCTCAATGGTGAAACTGGAGTTTAGAGGCTGTTGCAATGAATCCTGGTGTTTCTGGTAGCATTCTTGAAACTGTGCAATTTTTCTAATGCGCTCCAGAAATTGCGTGCTCTCAGAATCTCGTGGGCCGCACTCCTTGCTGCCAGTGTCGCGACCTAGTGGATCAAACCCGTTCAGGGCAATATCCTCATCTAAAATAACCGGCATCACACTACGCAGCTCGTTTTCTCCAAATTTGTTCCGTATCGACTCAATGTTATCAAAAAGAGTTTGCAGTTCGCTCCAGCAATCGATGAAAGAATGTCTGCGGGTGGTATACATATTTAAAGTTGTTCAAACTTTGCAGCTAGTTTAAACTTACTCTTCTGTGCGTACAGGCTCCCAAATGTCCACATTAATAGCCAGCCATTGCACATATACTTTAATAAACTGAAGATATGTGTTTAGGGGCGCGTATCTAAATTGATATTAAAGATTATAATAAACAAGAAGAACTCTAACTATATAATGATTTCATACTTAATATTTCCAAAGTGTTGCGGATCTGTCTGCTCCTCAGGAAATGCAGTGAAGAGCTGATTTGCTTTGCTCAAAATGAGACCGAAAATCGAGTTGGCGAAATTGAAGCTATGGTATCGCATCTCCCGACATGAGGCTATTAAAATAAACAAAACTGAAGATCGGATGGCAAGTACTGGCCATTAATGCTCTTACCCTTGCGTTTGTTGTGCTCAATTACAAAAATGTTCAGAGCAGCCATTTTCAAGAGTTTGCTGCGCGTCAGCAAATTATCGTGTTTCAAAACGGCCGTAAACTGTATTTGTAGTTTCCTCAGTTGCTGATACATGCACTCCACACTGCAAAATGCAAATTAATTTTAATACAACAGATGTTCCAATGCATAATTATTAGTGACTTACTCAATGCCCGTGTAAAGTTTGCCAATTAAATATAGATAGATTGAGAGAGCACGTGGCAGAAGCTCATCTGGAGCCATATCTTCGTAGCGATTTAGCTCGGCCACGGTAGCTTTGTTTTTCAACTTGCTCTTGACATCGGTGCGATGTAGACGTCGCACACCATCTGGATAGATCCACACCTCTTTGCGCATTTGCTTGGATTTTTTGGGCGTTGCGGGACGATGTTGAGGTGATTGTTTCATCTCGGTCTCCTCATACTTTCGCCGTATTTCATCAAAAACGTCCAAAAGACTCTCCTTGGCAGTTTGTATTGCATTGGAAGTTAGCAGGCTACGCATATAATAATAAACAGCATCGAATCTTTTATGCTGCGGAAACATTACAATCTTTATAACATGCTGGAAAATGTATATGACATCGCAGCCACTCACATGGTAGATAGCAATTATAGCAAGCTGATTATATGGGGCGCCATTGCCTGGCACCAATTCCTGCGCGCGCAGGTAGTATTTGCTGGCCTCCACATAGTCGGTATTTTGTAGGTAGCAAGCACGGTAGCGCGTCAAATCACCCAGGCAGATAAGCAAACGTTGAGCAACCACCTTGACTGCGCTTTCGCAACGCGATGAAATGTACTTTGCCATGATTTTGTCGTACAGAATGCGATAGAATTTAACGGCTTGATCGATCAACAGCAGTATGTGGGACTTTGCCACCTCCGTGTGCTGTCGCTTCAAGTACTCCCGAACGTTATAGAAGAGAAATTTCCAAAAGAAAGCGTCCACCTTGTGTTCACACACAAACTTTAGATGTTCAAGCAATAGGCGTGTGAACGCATCTTGCAGCTGGTCATGCAGATAGCAAAAGTTTTTCCAGTTCTATAAATACGCATGACATGCATGAATGTAAATGAACTTTCAAGATAAGCATTATATATATATTTATAGTAGGTGGACTTGAACTTACGATTAGTATCAGATTACGGTGCTGAAGCACCATTAGCTGATCGTATAGTTGTATAATGTTCCGGCCATCGGGCATTTCCAGTAGCTGATCGAACCAAAGAGGATGATCGGTGGTCAGGCGGACACATGACAGTGGTGACAGGGCTTTCTGCTGATCCCTGGTACGTTCGTGCATCCTAGCTGGATGCGTACGTGCGCGCCTGCGTCCAGCACTGGTCCCACCCTTCCTGTTATCGCTCACTTGTTCGATGGCGCTCAGCCTCAGTATCCCTGGTATACAATTTACATCCTTTGGCCTATTTTCTGACCCGCTGGTATCCAAAACGGGTGTTTTGGCCACATTGCTGCATTTAGCGGATGACTTGCTCAAAATGGTAACTGAAATAACAAACAAAAATACATATGCACATCCACGTGCACACATATAGCAGCCATTTTGTTATTACGTATCTGTATTATTTTCGCATGCGACGACTCACTCTGCCTCTGTATAGTCGCTGGCTCTGGCTCAGCATTTTCTACGTCCTCAGCTTCTGCTGCGCTGCTACAACTCGCAGCAATTTTGTTTTGCAGCCGTTTTGGTAGAGTACCAATGATTAGCGGAATATCATTTCGATCTTGCGTTCCCTTTCGACTCATATTTTATATGTTGCTTCTTCAGCTTCATTTATCTCGCGTTTTAATGGTTTTACACTCGACAACTGCGCCTCTCGCGAAACCAGAAAAATCTACAACAATCAGAGGTGAGCAATGTGTAAGTACCCGTAACGATGTCACGAGTCGCAATTACGCCTAGTGACAAAGTCACGGGCTTGCATCAATAAAGATATTTTAATTACGCGTTTTTTGCAAAACTATGATGCCTATTTCTAAAAAATATACATATTTGTGTTTATAATGAAACGATGAATCATTGTGTTATAACTACTATATAAACAGCTACTATATGAAACAGTCACACCAATAATATATGACTGAATGGCGCTATAATGTCACTGGTTAGAAAAATATCGCGATAATGTTAATTCGTAACAGCACTCTTAGAGTGACCATGACTAAAAAGTAAACAGCTGTTACCTCGACTGTTAATGGAATTGCAAGAAAATTTTATCATACGCTTTGTGTGTTCTTAAATACTTGTAAATTTGGTTTTTTTTGTCTACAATGGCTCAGGTTGCTTTTCTTGACAACCTGCTGCGTGAGTACCTGGTTTTTAGAGGCTACTCCAGCACATTAAAAGCACTGGATGTGGAGCAGCGCAACGAAAGGGAACAGCACCAGCACTTCCGTGCCGAAAAAATAATTGAACAATTTAATAACGCGGTGCAAATATACGATTTAAACGCGCTCCGCACTTTATGGCTGCACTTGGACAATAATCTCTTCACAAAACTGGAGCACACTTATGCCGTGGGTATGTAGCTTGTCACTGCTCGGCCGAGCAAATTTGATTGATTTATCGTTTGAAATTTCTCAGCCGTAAAAAAACTGGAGAACAGCCTACTGAAGTACTATCTGGTAACAGCATATAGCAACAACAAAATGGATAAGGTATCAGAGTTCTTCAATAAAATGGCTGGCGAGCTGCAGCAACAAAGTGAATGGAAAGATTGGTTTTGTAAGTGTTGATACTTTGTAGTTTCTCGTATCATACTTACTTGACTGCCTTTTCAGACTTTCCATTTTGCAAAAATGCCGAGGAATCGCCCACGTTCGCCTTGTACTTTACTAAACAATGGCAGGACACGTTGCTGTTGTCTTTGCGCAACTTTCTCACAACCGTCTATCAGTGTCTGCCGCAACCGACCTTTGTTAGAGCCGAACAGGAAGCCGTGCATATGCAGCGTTTACAGGAGGAGAATGCGCGTCTACGCTCGCGTGTGCAGCAGCTTCAGCAGGAACAGCTGCAGCAGCAGCAACAACAACAATCTCAGCAGCTGGCCAGCGCAGGAAGCTCCCAAAATTTGGCCAGTGGCAACAACAGCGAGTCAACGGCACGAAGACGCAGCGCGTACAGACAACAACAGAGCCTTAGCGATATCCTGCCTTTCGATATTAGTCCGCCGGGTCACATTGTCGACGACTTCTGCATTATTGCTTCCGAGGCGAATAGCGTGGCTCAGGCCAGTGATGCTCAGGCCCGTGGCCTAAAGATGCTCATACGAAACATTGGCTCCGGAGGCTCCCCTGTGCTGGGACGCAAGGATAATGCCTCCGCAAGTACTAGTGGCGAAAAGTCATCCAAGCGCAGGTCTGGCAGTGTGGGACGCAGTTGGATTTAGTTGCCCAACATCTCATATTTCCCAGAGAGAAAAAAAGTACACACACAATGATAATTCTATTTATTTTTTATTATTTTTAAATGCTGGCTTTTTATTTTGCGCTTCTTCCTTAAGACATAAATTGTTAGAAATAAGGAGCAAATGCATTTAAATTATCATTTAATTGCAATAAATAACGTAAAATTATAAATTGTAGAATAAATATATATGTATATAGGTATATAGACGATCGATTTGTGTATAAAATATATCGGTTTATACAAGCAGCACAATTTAAAAAATACAATTCATTGTATAAAGGTATGTCGTATATTGATATACATATGTATATGTGTAGGTTGGATTTGCATAAAGTAGCATCGCTTTTGACTCAAACATACACACATATATATATATATATATATATATATATATATATATATATATATATATATATATATATATATATATATATATATATATATGTACATATGCATGTATGCACATTCCTAATTATGTTCGCGTCTGTTTGTAAATGCAATTTCAGCGTCGTTTGGTGGAAATAAGTATGTATGTATAGCTCTGACTTAAATTGCTTATCGCTTCTTCGTTTCGCTTTCGTTTCTGAGAAGGGAGCATGTAAACGTGTTCCCATTGGCAGCATCGACGATGGCGATGGCGATGACAATGAAGGGTTTGACCCGTCCAGCAATTGACAGCAGCGATCGATGATGTAGCTCTAAAGCGCCGTTTCAAAGGCGGGCAGCGTTGCGGGAGGCGGCTTCAGCTCCACTCCGGGACCGGCCACCGGTGCACTCACATACTTGTTATGCTCCGAAATACCTGCAGCCCGATTGAAGCTTGGCTTCAATTCACCTCGCATGAAATTGTTCTCCTCGTTCTGCAAGAAGAAGTTCCTTTTCAAATCGAAATTGGTGGCAGCAATCGACTTAGCCGTCGCCGCCGTATCGCCTGCCTCTGAGCTTCCGCGGGAACCGCCACTGGTATTTGAGTGATCCTCCTCGCTGTTGGCCTCTGGTATGGTGGTTGACATAATCTCCGTGCGCTGCACTGCAGCGGCCGCAGCACTCGGACCCCGTACCTTAGGCGCAAAGGATTTGGAGGGTGAACCGAACTGACCCTGACGCAGCATGCGACGATTGGCAAAGGTCTTTGGCGAGCCACTCAGATCGAGCAATTTCAAGCTGGAGTTCAGTGTCTGCTTGGACGCTGCTGATGCTGTTGCTGCGGGCACTCCACTGGCTGCTTTGCGGCTCTGAGCAGCCTTTGGCGGACCATTGTCCTGCCCCGTGGACTTTTTGAGCAGCTCCACCGCCGACATTTTACGCTGCACCGGATTCGTTTTTGCTGACTTGGCCAGCAAGAGCTTCTTGAAGTCCAGCAGCGTCGTCTTGCTATGGCCAATGCGATCGGCGCAGGTATTCAGACGCTCCGGCGAGTTGTCATCCCAATTGCGGGCCGGTTGCTTCATGGGCACTGGTGCCACACTCGCTGCATTCTGCGGCTCGTCGCCCCGCGTGGGCGTTGAGGTGAGGAAAGCTCCGCTCCGATTGCGCGGCACAATTGGCGATATGTTGCTCTTGACCGCGGCGTCACCCGCCGTCGGGGCGTTGGAGGCTGCAGCGCGTGCTAAGCGATCTGCTCGACGTATGGGCGTGGCATATAGATCATCCCGACATGTTATGTTGCCGCTGACCGCCGGCTTAGGTTGACTGCGTCGGCTCTGCAGTGTCCAGTAGACGGGCGCATTGCGCTGAAAGGGCGTGGCATCCGTGGGCTGTGCGGGCTGCACTTGCTCATAGATATTAGAGAAACGTTGATACCCTAGCGAGACAGAGATAGAAAGAGAGAGCGCAAGGAATGCTCGCTTATTACTTCAGTTTAGTCACAAAGAGCGCGACATCTATCTGCTATTATTTTCTTTTAGTAAGCAATTCAATTTGAGGTGGTGTCGTTATATCAAGAACTAAAATCGTTAACTACCAAAAAATATTCAAAGGGTTGAAAGCACATAGTATGTGGTAGACATACTTACCTCGACAGATCGGGAGAGTTCGGTTATAATTTACCTGATCCTGGACCCTTACAATGTACGTGCATGTAGTATATGAAGTAATGTACAAGGTGCTTTATGGGTGCTTTTGAGAATTGGCGTGCTGGGTGCAGTTTATGGAGCCCTGGGACCACTTGAACCCACATATTATGAAGATCGTTTTATGGTTTATGAGTTGATGCATTTTTCTTTATTTTCATTTCATTTCTATGCTCCTTTACTTACGATTTTGTTTGGGTAAATGGAATGTGATCGAACTTATTCAAATTTCTAGGCGCTAATACTTAACGTTACATTTTTTCGAAATTCAAACTATGCGCTAATTTTTCAAACTACGGGCCCCATAGCTGGGGGAATTAATGGTTGCGTTAGTTGGGAGTACAAAAAACAAATAAAGTACTACGGCAAACACATATATATAGAAATTATGTAATCGAAGTTCTTTGCATTCAAAAATATCAAAAGCCACAAAGCAAATAAATGATGGTTGTGTTTGAAAAATTAGCGTCATAATTTTCAATAAAACAAAACTTAAAAATTAAAGTATATATAAAAACAAAAAACATTTGTTTCGGATGCGTATGCAAAAGATTGAAGAATTGAAAACGGTGCAAAAAACTTTACAAAATTTACAATACACATGTGTTGTTGTTGTTGTTATGTTAATTAATACAAGTAAGTATGTGGTATATACTTGTAGTTATAATTAGTTACAGTTAAGCTATGACAAAACATTTTTAAGTACAGACACACAATTGAACACAATTTATATGAAAACAACAATCTGGTTAAGAAAACACACAAGGTTAGATAAAAACAAGGGCACAATTAGCTAAACATAAATTATAAATTATTTGCACTTAAAAATTAGGTTTTTAAAAATTTGTAGACTTGCTTATTCTTGTGGTTAGATATAGTATGTTCGTAATCTTGCAATTTATTTACATCTTCATTGTTGCATAAGGTCTTCGTTTCAAGTGTACACCATGCTGTCCCAAAGAAGTGAAAGAAGGCGGAGGTTCCCTTTGTTTGAGCCGATGCAGTAACGCCCCCGAGCAACACTAGCAAATTGAACACGTACGAGACGATGTTCCGCCCGACTTCTCCGCCCGGCCGTCGTGGGCCGCCAAGTGCAGGCTACGACTTTAACGAGCTGCAGTCAACTGAGAGCTTCAAGGCAATGCATACATGCCAACGAGGTTTGGGCAAACAATTTTCAAATGTTGCATTTCAAAGTATATAGTAGTTCTGACTGTAGTTTTCAATACTAAGTTCCCTCACAAGTAAATAAGAGACATTGTCGAGTCTTTTATAGAAGAACCTACGGATTCTTACTCGAAAATGTTGGAGTTATGGGACCTTTCATGTCGTTGGCCATTAAATAAATGAAGTTTGGGGAGTCTTGAGTCTGTGTTTCTACGAGTTTTCTATATGGTTTGGAAATAGTCCGTGAATGATTTCTATTTTTTAAAATATTTAAGTTTACGGCACCTTTTGTATCTCTGACTTTGAAATCTCAAGTGTTCTACTTCCAGGGAGGCCTTTCTTTTAAACAGTGACTACGTTGGCTCTTATCTACAGTGACAATTTTTAAATCTGTGCACTGTATAGTTCCTGCCGAAAACGAACTAAATTAAAGTAAATTAAATAACTAAATATTGAGACCCCCAATTATTCTGTAGAGCTTCTAATTTAATCTTTAAACTTGTGCTGGGCAACTAGTTTATCTCTTCTACGATTCGATCACACCTCGCACAATAATAATGCTGTGAAGAGCAAACCAAATACACACACTAAACACTTGACACTGCGCCTATAGAATGCATATGTGAGCGTGCATGTGGAAGAAAGCTTGCCAAGATTGACAATTACTTTGTAGTGTTTACTCAAGATGGGTACTTGGCAACGTACGAGCCGGGCTGGACTCACTTTGATGGGCAGGGCGGGCTGGTCTGGCTAGGAGGCAGCAGCTAGCAAGGGTTGTGCGACATGGCGGTACCGTTTTTCTACATAAGGTCAAGTTAAAGTTAAAGACAAGTTAATGAGCGCTGGCGTCAAAGTCTATGTCTATGTCTATGGCGCGCCCAACTTGTCTACCAGATTTCCGTCACCTCAAACTTTTGTAAAATGCGCTGACGACGCGCACCGTTATCTTCGTTGGGCAGAATGATTTTGAACGGACGCAGCAAAATATTTTCCACAAAAGACTTGTGGTATTTATGTGGCATGGGAGTTGCCTGCATGGGCTCGTCGTTGCTGTCGTCGTCATCATCGTCATTATCGTCATCATCATTAACATCAGCGTTTTCATTATTATCGTTGTCGTTGTCAGTTTGCGTGTTGTCTAGATGGCCATTGTGTTGGCCATTTTGCAACGCCGGTGAATCATCAAAGTTCTCTAGCGATTTATTTTTTAAATAGGAAGAGTCCGTGCTGATGGTGGACAGCGAAAACTCATCAACGAGCCGTTCAAAGGACTTGGCAATTTTGCGCCCCTCATTGGGCGCCACCTGTACATTGCTGCCACTGCTGCCGAGTTGGGCCTTCAGCTTTAGCGAACTTGTTGCATTCGGGGGCAATGTGCTGAACGACGTTGCACTGGATTTGCCGTGGGCATCGGCATAGACTAGGCAATTTTCTTTGTTCATTTCTAATTTGAGCTCATCGTTGGCCAGCCTGTAGCTGTTGTTGCGCTTCAACGCTCCACGCGGTTTCGAGGGACTAAGCCTTGGGGGGTTGACTACTGCTATTGTTGAAGGGGGAGGAGCGTTGGGGATGGTGGTGACAGCTGCAGTTAAATGCGCAGTTGAAATGGAAAACTGCGTTGCAGCAATTGGGTCAATCGATAAACTAAGTGCAGGAGAAGGTATAGTATGAGGATGCCCATTGCTGAGAGCAATATTGTTGTTTTTGTTAGGTGGGCTGGATTGGGGGTTAACTGCATTGCGCGCAGCTGCCGCTGCTTCTGCCATTGTCGCTACTTTCCCATTAACTTTCGCCCGGGGTGGCAGTGGAGGGGGTGGAGGGGATGATACTATGGCGCCCATGGGGTTGCTACTACTACTACTTCTATTGTTGTTGTTGTTGCTATGGGGGGCGGTAGGAGTGGGAGTAACAACCCTCACTTTTGCCTTCCGATGGCACTCGTCAGTGGGGTCTTCATCGTCACAGTGTACACTTGAAATGCTGCCCATTGATGCGAAATTTGATTTTCCCGCTTCTAAATTTGTTACGCTGCTGTTTTTGTTGTTGTTGTTAATAGTATACATTGTTGCTGCTATTGTTGTTGCAGTTGGTGTAGTAGTGTGTAGTAGTTTTAGCGTGTTATTTACATTAGCATTTGGGGGGGCAGTGTAGGGTGGTAGTGAAATTGTTGGTGTTGGTTTTGGGTGCGCCAAAGCGAACTCAGGATCGCAAGCGAAATTGCAATTGGCATTAACTTGACTTATCAGGACTTGCTTACCTTCTTCGCCGGAGTGTGCCGATGCTGTAGTTGCTGTCGACGATGATGAATTCGTCGCTGTGGATCCAGTCGATGAATTGGACTTACTGGAGGGCGAGGGCATCATGGCAATTGTGGCGCCTGGAGCGGCATTTAAAGCTGGTGTTGTGTTGGAGGCAATTGCCTCGTAGAAGGGATTCGTATGATTGGCCAGCATTTGCTTTTGCTCCTGATAGGTATTATAGGCGACAGGTTGATAGGCGGACATATCCCTATTGTTGTTATTGTTTGGCGTTTTGGACAGCGGCGATTTGGCCACTATGGGCCGCACATTGGCCACCTTACGATTGGCCGCGATGCCGCCTTTCTGCAACAATAGTTTCGCGTTCTTTGTTAATGGCAAGGCGGGCACTCCTGTCGTAGTTGTTATTCCTGTTTGAGTTGCACTTTCACCCGTGCGCACATTTGTTGCAGACCCCTCGGCGTGCCTTTCGTCACTGACTACGAGAGGCAAACTGGCGAGCGCACTTTCAGTTTCCTTCACATACGGTCCAGGTGCGAATGTGGTGTGAGCGCCCTTGCGTCGCTTCAGACTATCGGAATCGTAGATGATTTTACCCTCGGCATTTGTGCGTACCAGGCGCGCACCACCGCCACCACCCCTCTGACCGGCGCCTGCACTCGACACGAGCGACTTCTCTTCGCGTAGCTCGCTGATTTCCGCATACATGGGCACGCCGCAGCTTTCGCTCGTCGGCTGACGTGCTGAAGCTGTTATGGTTTTTGCCATCGTCGTGGGCAGATGTTGTGCGCATGCGTCTGTGCTCTCAACTGCATTTCCACCACCTCCGACAGCAGCAATACCAACAGGGGGCGCAGCTGACGCACCATGCCGTCGCAAATGCTGTGGCAATTCATTGAGCGATACATATTCGGCTCGGCCCGATTGTTTGCCTGCCGGTTCGTCGGCCTCTAGCCTGCGCCTATGAACTATGTCATTGGAATAGTAGATGCCCAGGCTACCCGCCGCCGGCTTCGGTGCCTGCAGCTGGTGGGCCCGATTGTTGTTGCTGATGTCGGCTATGGTGACGTATTCGCCTGCCATGTCGTACAGTTCGTCGTTGTTGACGACACTTGGGGAGGCGGGCTTAGCCATTGCCTGGCAGCTTTTGCTCGGTGGTGAGCGCTTTATGTTCGGCAAAACAACCTTGAGCTTTTCAAACATGCTATTTAGAGCTTTCGTTGGCGTTTGCTTCAATTCGTTCAGGTTGTGGTCTTTGCTATCCGTTGCATTAGTTGGCGTTAACAGGGCCTCATCGGCATCTTCCTTAGCGGCTGCCTCATTAGCACAGTTCACATCCACAGTGCAGTAAGTGGTAACCACTTTGAGTGTAGCATGCGCTTTGGCTGCCGCCTTCGAGCAGGGTGAACCACCCGAGCTTGAGTTTGTCAAGGTGCGATTTGGATCGTACGCGGATTCGTCCGCCTTTGACTGATTCTCATCATCGCTAGTTGTCGGGGTGATAATGCACATGGAAGGTATGCGCTTAGCATTGATTGCAGTCTTCTGTTTAATGCGTTCAATACGCTCAACACCCTCCAGATCTGAGCACTCCGAGTATTCCAGCTCGGCTCCAGGTAAGGGATGAGCTGAACGCTTACGTATGCGGTCGAAATCAAACTCCCCATCATCTTGAGATTCTGGTGTGCCACTGTGCATTGGCATGTCAACATCCATCGCTGTATTGCGCTCTGTACCCTCGACTTCCGAATTGGTGGCCAGCTTAAGACCAGCATTAACATTTCGCTTAATGGTGCCTGTGCGCTCCAAAGTACTTCCGATGGTGCTGCTGGAGTAGCTTCTCTCTAGCGTACTAGTGCTGGCACTATTGCTGTGGCTACTAGCACCACCGCCTGCTTTATTCAGCTTGCCCAGCGAGCTGATGCGTTCGGGTACATCAGGGCCATGGCCATTAAGGCTGCCCCCCTCGCCGCCACTGGCACCGTTGATCATCAGGGTGGTACAGACTGTGCCCGCCGAGCTTGTTGTTGTTGAGGTCGAACCGCGTCCAAAGAGCTCGTATTCATTTTCTGCATTTAGCACCGTCTGATTGGATTGACTGCCAAAGGAGTAGCTGCTGGTGTGCAGACTCTGCTGCAGTGGTGTCATGGGTGGCTCTTCCTCCTTCAGTGTACGCAACCCGCTGTCCATGTGGAAGGAGGTGTAATAGCCCTCCGTATCGCAGGAGTAAGCTGAGCTAGTCTCATCATCTAGATGATTCGGGTAGGCACCATCGGGCACCACCTGTAGCTCTGGCGTTGCAGTGCCCTCGCTGGTCACGCTGCTCGAGGCGGATGTGTTGAGGAATCGGCGTCGACTCATCATCGATGAGGGTGGTCCACTTCCGCTGCCTGGATGGAAGCTGGACACATTGAGCGATGTGTTCGAGGCACTCGATTTCGGCTGTATGGTGATTTCACTGCCTATAGAGGCGCGCCCTGATTCCGAACTGGCACTCCAATTTCCGCTTGATGAGTGCGGTTGCTCATCCTTCCCGGCAAGACCGCTAGCCGCCCACTGGCCATTGCGTCTCTGGCGATTCAGTGTCGCCGTCTCACGCATCTTCACATTGCTGGCTGCCATATTGGCCAACTGGAGCTTGCCACGCAAATGCCCGCTACTGCTTACACTCATGCTCTTCTCGGATGAGGAATACGAGGGTTTTCGTTCGTGCGAAAACCGAGATTCACTCTTCTGCGATATCAGCTCATGGACAACGCACTCGTCATCAATGTCCCGCTTCACCGACTCCTTGTTGCCGCTGTTGGCTGAAGAGCTGCCTCTATCGGCGGCGCTGCTACTCTCCGCCTTTTCTGTGGACGTATTCTGCGAGCTGCTGCCGCTGGTGTCCAGCGTACTGGTCTCGCCTCCGACCGCTTCTGCGCGGTGCATGAACTTGAAGCGATTGCGACCCCATTGCTTCAGCGAATTGAGTCGTGTAAGGGTATTCTTGCCCTTGTCATAGGGCAAGGCAACAGTTTCTTTTTTTAAGATGTCGCTCGATTTGCTGCGTCCAAACTTTTTCGACTTCTTGGCGTCCGAGGCGGTGCCGCCTCCAGTAGCAGTCGAGTTATTGGCTCCCGATGTATTCTTGGCGTCGTTGTTGTTGCTGTTCGCGTTGCTGTTGTTGTAACATTTCAAATCGAATTTGTTGTTTTTGGCATTATGTTTTTGGATTAACGAATTGTTGGAAAAACAAAAAAGAAAATATGTTTGGTATTTTGTTAGCATTTTATAAGGTGGTTGATGAAGATGTTTTGTGGATTATATTGTTGTTGTAGTCAGACAGCGTTAGAAGTCACAATTAGTGTGAGCGAAAATGTAGGAAAGAGCAGAGCAGATAAAGAGAAAGATCGGGGCAGGGTAGGAATAGTGATTGACAGTAAAGTGGCGCAGAGATTTTATTCTTCTTGTTTTCCTATGAGAATTATTGTGATGTGCCTAGAGATTTGTTTATTGTTGCTCTACATGTTTCATGTTAATTCGACGCACATTATCAAAATGCACACACACACACATACAATACACACATCTACAGGCACGCACAGATGCAACTGCACTGGATTGGGGCAGGGGCAAGAGAATGGGAAATGGGAATGCGCGCTGCGTAAAATTAATTAACGGCAGAGTTCAAAGTTTAATTTCCTAGCATACATTTTCTTGTTTTTTCTTTTGATTATGCCAAGCGATTACAACATCTATATTTTTGAGTTTTTGTATTATTTTTTCGAGTGTTTCTTGAACGAAATTTGAGGGCGGCTGAAGTGGCATCTGTTTCTACATATTCGATGTGTGGCATGCACTTAGAAACAAGCAAACACATACATACACACAAATGCATTGCTAATAATTTCAAAGAAAAAAAAAACCAATTAAGAGTCTGCTAAAATTGTACATGAATACTTAATTGATCTCGACGTTTATTGCTGACCGATAAATGGACAAGCAGCGGATCTGGCAAAAACTATTTTCTGTCGATATACTCCTATAACGTTGGGTGACTCATGAAAGAGCCGGTAATGAGGAGCAGCAGACCGGAGTAAGAAGTAGACTTTGGAATTAGAAGAAGACTATTAAAATAAAGTATAAATTAATCATGCCTACCCATCAGGTGACTAAGAATGGATTGGTTTAAATTTCCAATTGTTTTCAAAATTTTAAATCCTATTATGCTGGAATATTAACTGCTTCATCAAATCGAATTGGAGATAGAAGTAAGGAAAACTTATATGAAAAAATTCAAAATGTTTTTCCAAATAAAATTGTGAGTAGCACTCTAAAATCGTTGAAATTTTATAAAGGGAAATGATATTCAGTCATGAAAAAATATTAAGAAAATGCTTTCAAAACATTTTTTATTCCATATTTCTATTAGTTGTGAATGTATTAGTAATATCTTTTTATGCAAATATTTTGACTATTATAACGTATTACACTTATAAGGCAAGTTCTTTCTTAGGAACAGAATTATAAGTTTTAGTAACGAAAGAAACTATTTATTTGTAACAACAATCAGTTGGGCCTCTTTTTGATAAATTCTGCGAGTTATTGAGGCCGCCTTAGTTGAATAATTGAAACTACATATAATACGTTATTGCATTTTTAAAACAACATCTATCAACACTTTAAAGAATTTAGGGTCAATTGCAAGGAAAGTTTTCAGGTCAATTGTAATTTCTAAAAGTATTTTACAAACGACCAAAATGTATTCGTTTTTTGAAAGAGAATCTTTAATTATGAAAGCCGGCCGGTTTTATTAAACAGGTCTAAAGGCCTAATTGAAAGATTGCGTGGCAAACGAAGCCTGGATCTGATCGCTCAGATATTGAACAGCCGCAGTCATTTACCTGCATACTTGTGTGTGCGTGTGTGTGAGTGTACTTGTAGTAGTGTGTGTATGTGTCTCATGTTGCACAGGGCGCCTGAAAATGCAGTCAAATGGAATGACGCCGCTGCTCTGCAAAGCTTTGTGGGCAGCCGGCGACGACTCTGACTCTGACGACGACGATGCCGATGCCGACGCCAACAAAACAAATAAGATTTATGAAACTTTTAGGAAAAGGCGTCGTGTGCACAGTTGAAAAGTGCCTGCATGGAAAAAAGAATACATATAAAGCTGTTGGTCATGTTGTTGCTATTGCCTGAGTTTTTTGGGCTAACACACACACACTCTGACAGACACTTTGGCTAAGGCACTGCAAATCTACAGAGAGTTTACTCGCATGATTTATGCTGATGATGATGCGCATGCAGGGGCAGAGCAGGGACAGCGAACAACTGAGAGTAGGAGCAGGAGTGGGCTGGCTGCCTGACTGACTGACTGACTGACTGACTGACTGACTAACTGACTGTCTCTACTTTTGAAGTTGAAGTAGGTGCAAATGCTGCAAAACGCAAATGTCGTGGGAGGTATGTTTAGATGCATGTATATGTTGTGTAGGCTCGGTAGAAGCAAATGTTGCTGCAACACATGAACTAAAGAGCAAATGTTTTTGAAGGCATATTTAGATGCATTCAATTTAAAGTGCGTATAAGAAGTTACAGTACGCGCAAATGTTGCCAACGCATATGTTGCCGCAACACGTGAACAATATCCAATGTGTGGGCTCAGTTTAAGGGGTGTATGTGAAGTTGAAGTACGAGCAAATGTTGCCAAGGCAAATGTTGCGGCAGCACAAGAACCAAAGAACAAATGTTGTAGGGGGTATAGTACTTATGTAGGTGCATGATTATATGTAGGCTAGACTGGAAGTGGGTATGTGAAGGCGCAAATGTTGCCAACGCATTTGTTGCCGCAGCACGTGAACCAAACAACAAATGTTGTGATGGTATGGAAGGAATGATAGATGTATACATGTGTGTATGTATGTAGGTATGTTGGTTTATATGGTATAATGTGCGTGTGTGTGTGTGTGCTCATGAGCATGTTTGACTAAATGATCATCATTATCACATGATAGGTAATTTGTTAGGCTGTTTTGCATTTTGAATACGTAAGCTGCCAAATTGCTTCGGAAAATGTATTTTCGTTTTGCTTGCTGAAAATTATTATTTCTTGCATTTTTGTTATACATATGAATCAAAAGAAAAACATGTAAAGGCTATTGTGTAAACACATACAAATTGGTAAGCTAATTAATTAAATTATTTACAAGTTTGTTCTTTCTTTTGTACAACATTCAATTTAAATCAGTCGTTAAAAGGCATGCGATTGTGTGCGGTAGCTAATTTCCAAAAATGTACTCAAATTTAAAAAAAAATAATTAACAACAATTTGTAAAACACAACAACGCACGGCTTTATAGAGTTCATAATTTTGTCTTGTTGGCTAATAAAAAGTTTTTATAATATGTAGTAAGAAAATAAAAATTAAACAGCATAACAAATATGTAGCTAAAATTTTGAATGGAGAGAATAATAATAATATATCACAATAATTTCATAGAGACGATGCTATTGGAAAACTATATAATGTATATACGATTGATATATGTATGTATGTATGTTTGTATGTAGGCGCTGTTATGTACAGGACAGCTATGCTATATAAGTATGTTGAATATATGTTTGAGGGTTTTATGTACAATTCAGAGAGAAAGGAGAGAAAAATATAGACATATAACACGTTTATATTAAGCCCTAAAATTGTAAGTTCTGTTAAAAGATACTACATATTAGTCTTAACCAGTACAGTGATTTAGATTTGATTAAAACTGACAAAAAATATGAATCAAGTGACGCATTGAGCATTGAAGAAAAGCGGCTAAACAGAAATTTGCAAAAATATTTACCGACGAAAGAAAGCGCTCAACAAAATAGAAGCAATGATGGTCAGCATAATAATAAAATTGAAATCGGACATATATTTTTGTGGTCATAAGAACTGCACCGACAAGAAATCATTTTTTTGTTTATCAGTTTTTATTTCATTTTGAAATCATTTCATTACTCAACTCTTCTAGTCAGCATATTTTCTTGGCATTTAAACCACTTGGGTTCTTGGGTTGATTCTGTTTGGTCGTTTATTCAAACTTAGCTTCAGTACTTTCTTTACGAAATATATTTTTCTGGGCAGTGATTTGCAACGGCGCTGAACGACCGAACGTTCGTTGTCATGAGAGATATATACGATTGAATGCATGTTATTTCATGTCGGTGCAATTTATAGAAATGTTGATTGGTGAATCTATAAAATTCAATCCAAATTTAAATCACATTCCGGAATCCTTTCATTAAAGCTATAAGGCTCAGAAAATCTAACAGAAGTGCTGCTGGAATGCAAATGAACGCCTTTTCGATTAGCGGAAATGCACAGAAATGAAATTAAAGAATTGTGATTTATATTGCTTTTGAGTATTGGTTAGGTTTGAATTTCTGCATTTCTGGTTAAATTATGGCACACAACACATAGAAATTGTCATACTATGTATGCACAAGTATATCAAGAACTCACGATTTTCAGGCGTCCTATAAACAACGTATCTATGGTATACACATTATACATTTTTTGCAACGGCAATGAGAAAACAAAAGTGTTAAAAAAAAGTGTGTGAAAGAGTTGGGGGGAAACGAGAATCATCATAGCTACATACCCATTGGCTGCATCCTGTATCTCCTTCTGATCTATGCCCGCAATCGTGTTGCGTCTCTTGCCGCGCACCTTCCGCGATCGCGAACGTCGACTGACCGTCTGCACATTATCATCGAGATTATTGGCATCCGGCTGGGGATCGTCTGGGCTGCCACCGTTGCTAGCCGCTGCACTGGAGGAGCCGCCTGCATAGCAGCCCGTCGTCGATTTGCGAGCCGCGCACATGCGCTGGAAATGTTTGCCGGAGGTGTTCACAGAGATCACTTCGGCGGGATATCTGCGTGAGTAGTTAGGGAGTGAAAAAGTTTGCATAAGTGTTGTTGTTGTTGTTGTTGCTTTTGCTGTGCTGTTGTTTTCGGCCTACAGTTTGAAGTGCATTTTGTGGCTAGCGGCTGTAAATTTGTTTATGCTTAAATGCAAACCAAACATTTGTGCTTTAAATCAACGAAGCGTAAACAACGCTTGTTGGGCTCCATTTCGGCCGGAGGGGCACATTAAACAAATGAGCCATGCCGAAGGGTCGGGTGTGGGAGTGGGGGAGGTGGGTGGGGGCGGATGGTGTAGGCTGTGGTTGGGCGCGACGCTGCGACACTTGCATAATTGTCTGACCGCATTGTAAATATATGTAATTGAATTAATGCATTTAAGCTTTTTTACGCCATAATTGTGGGGCTGGCAATGGGGCTGCTGGCTACATAACGGCACAAACAACAAAGGGCCAAGTTGGGCAATGAAAAAATAAGTTGTACAGTAAACCAGCAATATATGCAAATTGAAAGTGTGAAAGACCTCGACTGATTACTTCACACATTTTGATAGCCTAAATAATGTTGGGCTGTGTTTGATTCGGTTCCGTTTCTTATACGTATGCACTGACAGACAGAAGGAAGTGAAGGCGGGGTTCTTACTCTCTTTTAACACAATCAGCAATATATTAAAACCTAAGACGAATTATATTTTAATCTATGCAAGTATTTGGCATATCTTTCACAATTTCCTCAAATGTAGTAGCTTAAGGCAATGTTTTAAAATTTAAAAGGGGCATGCATTTAAGATAAGCTGACGAATTTAAATGCATATTATTATTTATAATGTACATGCCTTGTACTTAGAAGGTATAAGGATACACTTTTTAGTGCGATTGTATGTAGGTAGCATCTAAAATGAGGCGTGGCTGAACATTACTCGGAAAGTATAAAAGAGCCAGAGATTGATATTCCATTTTTATTTGTGCAATATAAAAATGTTAAAACTTTCAGACCAAAATTATCAAATCTCCTTATACGAACGAATAGCACTTTAGTTATTTAGTATTGATATTAAAAATTACAAGCAAAAGCCTATATTGTGCCTAATCAGTAGGGATCTAATGGATTTAATATACTCTTTTAATCTATTCTAATGATCCAGCTATCATATGTAGTTCTTAATACTTTTCAGAGGGTTTTTTGTGTCAAAAGCTTAACAAAGGTTCTGTTTTATGCTAATTGGCATCACATTTTGGATTGTATATATCCGATATTTACTGTCCATGGCTGCGTTGCGTATACGCATGGAAAACCACTCCAGTATAATGGTATTTTTGTTGTTGTTGTTGTCGCTCTTTGTGTGCAAAGCAAACAATAATTCGACAAAAATTTACATGGAAAACTCATAAAAATTGAAGTTTTACATAAAATTAGCATACACAATGGGCCAGCCAGCCAGCTAGCCAGTGGCTGTCAAACTGTAATTAAAGGTGTGCCTCGGCCACCTGGTACGCCCATATGTACATATGTATATTGTTGTTGTTGTTGTTGTGAAGTTAACTTACTTTAAGGCAATGAGTTTGGTTTGTTCCTCGGGTGAAGGCAATCGATGATTCAAAGGCACATCTTTATTGATATCGTTTGGCAGTAGTTGATGCTGACTGCTGTCCACCGCTTGGCTGATATTGGGAGCATAGGTGGTGGAGGCGTCGATGGCATCGGCGGATAGGACGGACGGAGATAGAGCGGGTGTTAGTAGGCCGTTATCACCGATGACCATCGAAGTGCTCAGCGATGTGTCCACATGGTGCATGCAATCGGGCGTGACCGTGACATCACCCAGCGCCTCGGTGGACGTCCATTTGCGCAGGTCCTCGATGGCAGCAGGCTATAGAGTAGCAATAAAGAATAAAGGAAATAAGGAAGGGTAATGGTTTAGCTTTGGTTTAATTAGCAGTTCGTTCGTGCGTTCGTTCAAAGTGACATGCAAAATATGAGTTTTTTATGAGGACTCCTTAATTATGCAGCAGCAAAGTTGCCGGACGCTGACCTAACCCTATGCTCACAGATATTCATACACACACGCATGCCCAACCACATGCAGTCTGCACACACACACATACACCCAACCACCCACTCGCACCCACTCACACCCCCACACAGACATTTTTGAAACATATGTTCGTGTGTGCTGATTGAAAAATGAGTTCTTAACATTTTTTGTGTGTTTGAGCAAACATACTACTACTCGTATATTTCCCTGCCTCTACTACTACTACTCCTTTTATGTATTTAGTCTCTTTCTCATTTTTGTTTTTGGTTGCACAACGCAAATTTAAACAAGTCACGCGATATTCAGACAGAGCGCTAAATTTTACCCCAGTTCTGTGCGTTTTTTGTTCGTTATAGTTATTCGCCTCGCATGGTGTATGGATATTCAATCAAGCAAATTAAAAGCAATAAAAAATCGTACAAATAACGTAAATAATTTTATTAATACTCTCAAAATTCTTTGAAAGTTATTATGTGGCAGCACAACAATAGCAACAAAGCCCAAAGAGCGCAATCATTGTGCGCGCATTCTATTTGATTTCCGGCTTATTCCACAAAATCAATTGTATGTGGAAACTACAGTGGCAGCTCCCCTCCTCCACCTCCTCCTACACAGAGTACTGAGACGACTGTACTTTTATTTACATAAAAAGCCACTTGTGCTTAATTTTTACTATGGAAACTTTTCAGTTTGATCATAAAGACATACTATACACCAAGGAGGCAATTGTTGGTTTACGGCTCAGACTCTTTTGAATAGCGCGTCCAAGAAGTTTTAACGATCAAATATTTGCACATAAATGTCGTGCCATATATAATAATGTAATTTAAGTGCCCCACCAACACAAGAGCAGTAACAAAAGCAACAACGGCAACAAAAGTAGTTGGCTGATAGAGTTTGGTATTGGTTGCTGCCGTAACCAATAAACCGCGCCACGCTAATGTGCTGCAGGCTGCTAATAGAGATGTGATGAACTAGTTCTGCAAACGATTGGTTCAAGGAACGTATTCACAGTCTATGTTTTTGGTTCAATATATCCATTCGATAGAATAAATTCTTCTGCTTCCAGTTTTCATATGTTTAGTTTTTTAAGCATCCATTTCAATCGTAATGATTTTTTTTTTGTACGAAACAGTTTTTTTTTTTTTTTACGAGAAAATTGTACTAAATAGCATTTAAAAAACTTTCCCTCATCGGTAGTACCCAGTTGGTTATTATTAGCGCGTTTCGGGCAAAAGATGTTATTTCTTTGCTCAGAAATTCACAAGCACCTATAGAAAGATCATCTTTATCTACTAAAAATTTCCAATTACAAAGAAAGGAAATTGTAAAATGGATGCCAGAATTTTAAGGATTGTGTAAAATTACGAAATCCCTATGGATTACAGTATGAAATTATTATGGTTACTTTAAGAATGGATATTTGCCATTGAACCTCCACCATCGCTAATCATTGCCTGCCAGTTGTTCTCACTCGTAGAGTCTGAGCCCAAGAGCTAGTTCCAAAAACTGAACTAAAGTTCGTTGCTCTGAATGTCTGGTTAGATGTGGATGCGAATATGATTGTTGCCATGGCTGTGAATGTAGCTGCCTCTATCCAGTGAAGCGGAATGTTGCGGCAACTAACGTCAAACGCAATGCGAAAAGGATTAAAAGTCATTTTATTAAGAAGAAGCAGCAGCTGGCAGCAGGAGCAGCTCAAGCAGACGACAGCAGTCGATGAGGACAAGCTGAAGAAGAAGAAGAAGAAGACGTGGCTGCCAAAACGACAAACTACAAACGGCCAATGGACCACGGCAGAAGGCAGTCAACGAGAATGCTGGCGACAGAGAGACATCTATTGACAACTATGTGTGTCCGTTGACTTGGCGCTGTTTTTGCCAAACAAGTTTGGCCAGCACTTGGCAAGCACTAAGAAGAAAAAGAAGAAGATACTGCTGGCTGCCCGTTGCCTGTCGCCTGTCGTCTATTGGCCATTGACTGTTTGTCTTGCGAGGCTTATCTAATGGCACGGCATAAAAGATAAACAAGCCAAATACTACAACGACGGCAACGACGGCGACAAGAGCCGAAATGAGCGCGACGAGCGTTGCTGGAAAATCGGGAATGGAAAATGGCACATCTGTAAAGCGCGTTAGCTCAAATTAACTGCAATTTTCTGATATTTCTGCAAAGGCAGTGCGACAACTTTTCAATAGTGACAACCGACAATGGAGAAGGATAGGAACGGGATAGAGGTCTTGTGGATATAACTGAGATTTTAGTTGCTGAAGATGTGGCGAGCGTCTGGGTTTATTTTGTGTCAGCTTTGCTGCAATCAACTGCCATACTATGATGGGTTATTTGCTTGTGAGGTCCCGGGCCACAGCTGGCAAATATTCATTAAAGTTGTTGGCGTGGGCGCGTAGATTCACGTCAGCAATTAAAACAACTCAACTTAGCTCAACTCGGATGATTTGCCAGCCTTCTAGGCTTTTTCTGCTCCACTGCTTGTTAGGCTGTGGCTGCGGCTGCGGCCGTGTGTGGCCTGCCTCTGCTCGAGTTGGACTTGCATGCCCTGCTTTTCCATTGTAAACGGCCACAGGCGCACAATGGTGCCTTCTAACATTTACGTTGAATAAATAACACATATTATCTAATTAGGGACATGTAATGGATATTTTAAGAAGCAACTTAATACTTTTTAGAAACATGTAAAAACTGTTTGTAATTAGTTGTTCTTGGGAGAGACGCATTTACCTTCGACGAGCTTTAATTACTCCCTAATATTTATCTATTACGATTACAATGGAGACTCTAGTATGGATAGAAAACATGTTTTTGTTTCTAGGTTTAATGCATCTTTTCTTAGGCAACATGTTCCTCTCGTTGGCAGCATGTGCTCTTACTCTAGCAACATGTCGCACGCAATATTATCCCACTCCCAAGCAGCATTATTTTTTTCCTAAGCAACTTTTTGAATAAATCTGAACATTCATCATTTTTGCTTTAAATAAAGCTTCATCAAAGATACCAAATTAGTTAACTTACAAACTTTAGATGAAAATCTAGCTACTCCATTAAATTGTTGCAGACACATTAACAGAAAATAATAATTCACCACCAAAAGTATTTAAATATTCGCAGCTATATGAAAGGAAAGCACATTTAAAAATACATGAATGAAGTCAATTGGCTCGATGTACTGACACTGTATTATAATAATAATAACGATCATTTTTATAAGTCTCTTCCAATCACATGTCCCACTGTTAAGCATTAGCCAACCTACGTGATTCTGTGTATACATATGTATGTGTGTATGTGTGTTTATTTTGCGTTTTTAGTTGATGTGCAGCATATTGTTAGAAGATACTTTGGTTGCAGCTTTTAGAGCTCTAGCGGACGCAGCTGGCCCATATGACCAGGAAATGGCAGCATCAACATCAGCCTCAGCCAGAGTCTCAGCATCATCAACAACGGCGGCAAGAGGCAGTCAAAGCAACATAATCGTCAGCCATATAGACCACACACATGAGACCGTGGTCCATGCTCTGCGGTCGTGTATAGTTATGGACTTGCTGTTGTTGTTGTTTTTGTTGTTGCGTGTGTGTGTAGTGTGTTGTTTTTGTTTCCATGACAACCACTAAACATATTACTTATGCATGAGGCGGTCACCAACTCGACTAAGCTCAACTAAGTGACCAGACTGGCCAGCGGGCAGCTGTTGCCTATGCTGCTCCAAATACTACCTAACTACATATGTACATATGTACAATACCTATAGCACAACTAACGGCAACTAACTGTAAACTTGTTTGTATGGAGCGTAGACCAGAACTCACCAAACGTATTTCAATTTCAGCATCAATGCGCGTGCGCAGCTTGCGATTGGCATTCCCAAAATCGGATTCACAAACAAGCTCCTCGCTGTTATTATTATTGTTGTTGTTGTTGCTCGCTTCGAACTCGAGGCCATCGCCGTTCAGCAGAATGTCGCCATTGAAGGAAATGGAACGCGGCGGTGTCAACGCTGTCGAAGAAGCTGACGATATTGGATGCGGACCAGGCAGCTCCTTGGCTGCCTCCACATACAATTGTCGCACGCTCTGCGGCCGCGACTCTGTGGTGAAAAGTTGCTGCTGGAATGACTTTTCCGACTCGTAATGCTGCTTGCGTTGTGCAAAGGTGAGCAGGTCGCTTTCAGCTGTAAAGGACAAAAGGGAGAGCAGGTGGTGAGCACATAGTTATAAAGAAGTTAAATTAAAAGCAAAATTAAAACATTGTATATAAATAAAAAATAGTTCCATAATTTAAATTCTCGTTGATCGTTTGTTTGTGAATTTTATTTAATTTGGTTGCCAAAAGCCACTGATTTAGAAACTATAATTATTTATAATTAAAACATAATCTTAGTAACCAATTGTAAATCAAAACTATGTGTAGTTTCTTTAATAGTTTTTACTTGCGAATAGTTTAGCAAACGATATTGATATTGATTGGCTAAGCAGTTTAGAGGTGTGATCTTTTAAAACTGTGCAGTTGCATACTAAAGGCAAACTGGTCAGGAATTTAAACAACTTTTGAAACTTGAAGACAGTTGAAAAGGCATCGCACAATGTCGGTGTTATGAACGAATGTCTATTGCTTGAATATCATCAAAAAAACCTTTTTAAACGATTAATTAGTTAAACTGTTTGTCAAATATAATGAAAGCATTTTGTCTTCCACAAAATTGTTTTAAATTAAAGAGAGGATATGGAGAGAATATTTCCCGAAAGGAATGATTGAAAATAATCGTATTAAAATGGGTTTCGGTGCTGCTCTTTAATTATACAGTTTTTTGTACGTAATGTCATTATTAATCTTGAAAGCTCGACCCCTAAATTCATTAAAATCGGCCAAGAATATATTTCTTGCAATCCTTATTTATTTATGTGTTCTATCTGTTAGACGTAATTATTTTTAGTCTATTTGGTTAAACATAAGGCCGAATATCTCTAAAGTAAATGTAAGGAATTCTTAGTTACGAAATGCAAATTTGCTTCAAAAGCTTCTGTTTTCAATCGTATTCTATACCGATTGTGTGCAGAGTTACAAACATTGATCAAAACTCGCACACATGGACAAAACATTTGATTAAAAAAAAAAAAATTGAAAATTTTTCTTTTGTTTTTAGAGTTTTTTAACTTTTCAGCTTAAAATCTTTCAAGTACACAACTGAAAATCAGTGGAACTAGAACATTTCGGGTGAAGATTTAATGAGAAACAAAAAACGATTCTTTACATATTTCTCTGACAGAGATTTTTATGTATGGAAATGACTCAGAACGTGACCTCCATTTCGATATCATTATCAAGTAGAAAAATCAAAGCATTCCATATACATACATACTCGTACTACACACAGAATTAAATGCCCGCCCAGCTGCGTGTCTGATTTTTGTGTTGTTTTTTTTTTTCGTTGCTGTTGGGGGCCTAACTGCCTCTCCACTGAATGGGAATGGCTCCCCAATGGAACAATTGCGAAACGTTACGGAATTTGCTTTTCAATTTTGTTTTTGTTCCATTTTTTTGGTTTAAATTTTTCACATTGTTTACATACGACTGCCATTCATGGAGCCATAACTTTTTGTTCTACATACCCGTGCTTACAAATAAACAAAAGCAGTTGTGGGGCACATAAATCAATGCGTAAATTAATAGAGTGAAAAATCGGCAAGAGCAAGGACACATCATGGCATAATAAATAATAATAATAATCATAAATATGCATGCATGATGAAAAAATGTGTAATTAACTTTAATAAACCGGCGCAGGCCACAAGAACTGTCCGGAAAAACTGCCACTCTGTCTGCATATTTAATTTAGAAGGAGGCCGAGCCAGATGACAGAGGGCCAGTTTCTGTCTCTCTGTGCAGACAGCCCGCACATTTTGCATTTAATAGGCCGCCATGTGGTCGTAATGAAAACAAAGCCCGAGGTGTTTCGCACAAATCTCAACAGAAGACATAAAGTCAAAGCACAAGTCAACAGCAGCAACAGAAACTACATGAACAACAACAACAGAAATATATAGCCAGTTGCAGATTAACAAGCCCAGAAGAGAGCTAAAAGATACTCGAATGGCCAGGGCCCGGACCTGGATCGGTGCCAGGCGCACTAGAAACAGTAGCTGCTCTTGCTGCCAACCTAGCGCTAAATTCAGGCAATTTTATGCCAACCAGGCAACGTTTTGACGTTGACTGCACAACTGGAAGATGCATGTGCCTTTGCCTTTGCCAGTGTCCAATACTCTTACAGACACTCACACGCACAGATACTCCACAGAGACAGCTACAGATACTTAATACAATTTCCCATTTTCAATTTCAAGTGCACAGACGACGATGTCTGACATTTAACGCAGCAACGAGAAATGAACTGGACTGGACGGGACTGGCTGCCTCGACTCTGCACATCCTTCTGCGTGAAAGAGTTGTGCGCTTACATACAAGTATATGTTGGACTAGTTCCTAGCCCCCTTCTAATCAAAAACTTAAGACAGTTTCTAGTTCGATTCGAATCACAAACATAGACTGTTTTTTTTTCTTAGTAAGCAATCAACTAATTGTTTCTGTATTCAAAAAGAAGTAAAAGTGCTTATTAACATGAAAAATACGATCTTACTACATTAATGATTTGTAGAATACGACATTCCTTTGTAAAAGTTCTAAATGTGGAAGGTGTTTTTGATTAAGGACAGCTCTATAAGATTCCCTAAAATTTTTGGGAGGTCTGACAAGCCAAGGCAAATTATACGCACCGAAATTTATAGAATTTGAAAAGTACATAATATTTATAAGACGCAACAGCTCAGTGAATAAGTTAAGGATAATCGCTATCAGATAGATATAGAGAGCAGAGTTGACAGGCGAGTGGAGTTCTGTATAGAGAGCTTTAGATGAAAGACGCGAAAAGGATGTTCAAAAGTGTAAAACGGTATTCGAGCTAATTCTGAAACAAATTTGTCTATAATTAAATAAACCGGTTGAGTACACTTTAAAATTGGTTTGTAGAGCAATTTATAGAAATAATCTTTATTGTTGAACACACTGAAGAACTTTCGACACTTTCTTAAAAGAAAACTCTTTACTTCAAAATTCGTATTCTTGTTTAACTCTTCATCTATTTCTTGCCTCCCTCGTTATTTTCTAAACATTCAGTTGAGCTATAACCCATAGTATGAAACTTTGGGAGTTTAAGACCTTATGAAGTCGTGCTAAACAACACAATACAGAAGAACTTCTGAACCTTTCGCAAAATGAAAAATCTTGAGCTCGAAATGTCATTCAAAAAAGTTGATGACTGGCTTGTCATCTATTTGATGCCCTCCTGATTCTTCCCGAACATTCAGTTGAGCTACTTATAACCCATTATAAAACTGAACCCCAAAGCTGTCTCTTTAAACTAGTTCGTTAGCTCATGGAACTCCAAGAACTGTTTACTACGAACTCTGTTGCTCCGATTCCCTACGATTCGCTGTGGCGTCTGGCCTGCTGGTTGCTGGTGTCTGCCATGTGGCGTCAGTTTTTGTGCCCGCAGGCCGTTGCAAAAATGTTATGAGCTGCTTCGTATTTGATGAGTGGCTGCCTGCCTTGACAGTGGGCACATGCCAATCTTGCAGCACGCATATTTGTGTTGCTTCTTTTTTTTGGGATTTATTTGGTAGGTGGAGGGGGGGGGTTGAGTGAAAAATTTACATTTTCACTTCATTTGAAGCGTCCATGAAATTCAATTAGCAACGCTCAGGTGCACAGCAGTGGGCGGCAAGTGGGCGCGCCTCCTGTGCGGAAGCTGTTAGCGGAAATGGCAAATTACATAACTGGAAAGCAAAATACAATATTTTGGATGAGTTTTGTCGGCAACGTCGTTGTCGTCACGTCTGGCCAACGACTTTTGCAGACACTGCTGGCAGAAATTTGATTAAATTTATGAGTCACAGGCGCGCTTGCATGCCACAGCAGCAGCAGCAGCACCACCAACAACAACAACAACATCTGCAAACTTATTGCTGGGCATAAAAATTGTCAGTTCATGGCCAGCAACGACATGCAATTGTCGTAGCTTCTGCATTACTCATGTGCAACTTTTGTTTGGCTTTCGGCTTTTGGCTCTCGACTTTAATTCATTGCAAAATGCGGCAATTAAGGCGACGCAAAAGTTGCCGCTGTCTCCAAACGCAGTCAGCCGTTTTACCATAAACAGCCACAACGGCCGTTTTTATGGCCATTTTCCGTTAGCCCGCAGTTGCAACACCGCTAGGCAATGGGCTGTTAGCGACTGAGCCTCGCATATCATGTGGAGTTTTAAGTTTATTGCCGGGTCCGCCATTTTGATTTACACGCATTGTCATTGAGGAGGTTTGGTTGTTAAAGGGGGGAAACGCTGTGATTTTGTAATCACTGTGAAAACTATGTACAATAAATGCAATTTCAAATGAAAACAAAACTGATGAAATGTGATTAAAAATCGTAACTTTTCTCAAACTTCTTGGAATTGTTGGTTCGTGTTTGTTTAGAAGCTTTAATCTGAAAAATAAAGTCATAGTCTTGAAGTTTTAGAATCTGAAATAACTAGATTCTAAAGCTTCATTTTAAGAAAATAAGTAAATTTAGTTTTTGGTCGTTTGGAAAACATGATTTCACTTTAAGAATATCTGCAAGTTGAGTTTTTGATTTTAAAAAAGTAGATTGTTAATTTAAAAAAAAAAAAAATCACTTTTTTTGTAGTTATATTAAATAATATGTATGTATGTTCAGAAAAAAGTTTCTATATCTAAGTTGCTATACTCGTAAGAAGTGCTTATAAGCAAATGTTAGTGGAGAATAGAATAGGAATGGTTACAATAGGAATATAAAAGTATGGTTATGCTCCAATTCCAATTAATTGCTTCAAAGCTTTCTGATTTATATGAAAAATGTGAAATATGTGATCGAATCGAATTAGCAAAAAGTGGATTACCAAAAATATATATTAAAACGTTTCAGAATCTAGAATAGAAAACAATTAAAATGTTAAGTTTAGTTTGAGAGAATTTATTTTCCGCGAATTGCACACCTTTTGTCGCAGCTAACTGCGGCTAGAGATGGCTTCTTAGCTCTTTAAGAATCTGCGCAAATATCAATCAATTGTAACTCCTCAATCACAGACTGTTATTTTTGCTT